GGCCAACTGAAAAGAATGAACATGAAAAGAATGTGCATGTATAGCACTCAATACTTAGTCGGGGCTCCTTTTGCCTCAATAACTGCAGTAATGTGGCGTGGCATGGACTCGATCAGTCTGTGGCACTGCTCAGGTGTTATGAGAGCCCAGGTTGCTCTGATAGTCGTCTTCAGCTCCTCTGCATTGTTGGGTCTAGCGTATTGCATCCTCCGCTTCACAATACCCCATAGATTTTCTATGGGGTTAAGGTCAGGCGAGTTTGCTGGCCAATCAAGGACAGGGATACCATGGTCCTTGAACCAGGTGCTGGTGGTTTTGGCACTGTGTGCAGGTGCCAAGTCCTGTTGAAAGGTGAAGTCTGCATCCCCATAAAGTTGGTCAGCAGCAGGAAGCATGAAGTGCTCTAAAACTTCCTGGTAGACGGCTGCATTGACCCTGGACCTCAGGAAACAGAGTGGGCCAACACCGGCAGATGACATGGCACCCCACACCATCACTGACGGTGGAAACTTTACACTGGACCTCATGCAACGTGGATTCTGTGCTTCTCCGCTCTTCCTCCAGACTCTGGGTCCTTGATTTCCAAAGGAAATGCAGAACTTGCTTTCATCAGAAAACATAACTTTGGACCACTCAGCATCAGTCCAGTCCTTTTTGTCCTTGGCCCAGGCGAGACGCTTCTTGCGCTGTTTCTTGTTCAAGAGTGGCTTGACACACGGAATGCGACACCTGAATCCCATGTCTTTCATGAGTCTCCTCGTGGTGGTTCTTGAAGCGCTGACTCCAGCTGCAGTCCACTCTTTGTGGATCTCCCCCACATTTTTGAATGGGTTTGTCGTCACAATTCTCTGCAGGGTGCGGTTATCCCTAGAGCTTGTACACTTTTTTCTACCACATTTTTTCCGTCCCTTCGCCTGTCTGTTAATGTGCTTGGACACAGAGCTCTGCGAACAGCCAGCTTCTTTAGCAATCACCTTTTGTGTCTTGCCCTCCTTGTGCAAGTTGTCAATGATTGTCTTTTGGACAGCTGTTAAGTCAGAAGTCTTCCCCATGATTGTGGTGCCTTCAAAACAAGACTGAGGGACCTTTTAAAGGCCTTTGCAGGTGTTTTGAGTAAATCAGCTGATTAGAGTGGCAGCAGGTGTCTTCTATATTCAGCCTTTTCAGAATATTCTAATTTTTTGAGATACCAAATTTGGAGTTTTCATTAGTTGTCACTTATGAATATCAAATTTAAATGTAATGAACATTGGAAATACATTGGTCTGTGTGCATTGCATGAATATAATGTACAAGTTTCACGTTTTGAATGGAATTAATGAAATATTTTCAACCTTTTGATGATATTCTAATTTACTGGCCAGCACCTGTAATACCCATCATCAAGTATCTTTATATGCTGATGACCTCCTATTGTATATTGATAACCCAGTCAGCTGCATGCACAATATTTTATCTATCTTTAGTAAATATGGTGAAGTCTCCGGCTTCAAAATCAACTAGCAAAAATTGGCCTTGATGTGGCTAAGTGGAGCCCCAGATGTTGCTCAGGCTCCCCTTGCAGTTCCAGTGGTGGAACCCTTCACTTAATCTGGGCATAGAGATTTATCCATCAATCTCAAACATCATAAAATACAACTCTGACAAAACATTAACGAAGGTGATCTTGGATTTGGAGAAATGGGCTAAATTTAAAAATTCACTGCGCAGCCGAGTCTCAGTCATTAAAATGAATATCTTGCCATGGGTAAACTTCATCAGCTCGATGATCCCACTACCTCCTCCCCAGCAATATTGGGCCATACTACAAGCGGCTATCACTGAATTTGTATGGAACGGCAAAAGACCTCGGGTGAAGATTCAGACGATGCAGTGTGAAAGGAAAGATGGAGGACTATCTCTCCCAGACTTTAAATTATACAGTTGGGCTTTCACGCTTAGACAACTGTCGGTCTGGTTTCAATCGGATATTAAAGTGTCCTGGCGGGTGCTAGAAGAAAGCTTGGTGAGCCCCAATTCTCTCCATCAACTCCTACATTTGTACCCAATGGGCTCCCGATTAAACACTTATGGCCAGATTATCACACGTTTGCTAAAGGTCTGGGAGATTGCTAGGAAGCTTTGTGGTGGGCTGTTCCCATGGGACCCTGGGATCCCACTTTTTGGTAACAAAAGACTGCAAATAGATAAGCAACCACTGAGATGTATGGCTTGGGAGGAAAGGGGAATCTCTGTTCTTGGAGATATATTCGGAGCTGACGGGCTATTGTCTTTTGCTGAGCTCTGTGCTAAGTTCAATCTTCCTCGTACAACATTTTACTTTTATCTACAATTACAATCGGTTCTCAAAGCGCATGGGGCTCCCCTGCAGGGGTCATTGCCCTCTCTACCGGTCAAAAAACTACTATGCACACAAACAAAAGTGGTTGGCTATGCGTCCAAGCTCTACAAAGTTTTATTACATTCCCTCTACAGACCCTTGGCATTGGAATCCCTATGGAAGGCAGATTTTAGTGATCTTAATCCTGATTTAGATTGGTGCAGGCTATGGGAGAGTGTCGGCCTGTCCTCCAGAAATCCCGACCATCAACAAATCCACTACAATTTTATACACCGGCTTTATCTTACTCCTAAAAAATTGCATGCAATGAAAATTATTAGAGATCCCAATAGGAAACTCTGTAATTTAGATAAAGTAGGCACGTTTAAACATGTTTTGGGAGTGCCCCCAGTCATGGATTTCTGGAGACAGATCGCGGGTAGACTGTCTGCCTTGTTGGGTTGCTCAGTGCCACGCCTGGTGGGGGTACTCATCCTAAATGATTTTTCACAAATCAAGCTGAAAGTGGTGGTACAGAGAGTGCTGTTGGCTGGGCTTACAGCAGCAAAGAAAATGGTGGCAACACGCTGGAAACCACCACATTGCCTTTCTGTGTATACCTGGACGACATTGTTTTTGGACATAGCATATTTGGAACTTTCTGTAGCAAGAGTGCACAGGGCTGGGAGCACTACAGTGGAGGCCTGGAGAACTGTTATTGATCATCTCCGGACAAATTGTAAGAATCAGTGTGCAGCAACCGAGGCTCTGGACTGAAATTTTTTTGTGGGGGGTGGGGGGGAGGAATGTGATGGGGACAGATAAATATATGTACGCATTATTGCTATCTTTGTTCTGTTGTTCTGATTTAAAAGAAAATTTAAAAAAAGTTGATAAAAATAAATGTTTAAAATCTAACAAACAGTACCGAGAGCAATACACGACCTTCATGGAATGGATGCAGCCATCACGAATGGGGTTGCAGAACCAGCTCCTCCTATTCAGGATGGTGAAAAAGTGTGGTACATCCTACATCATGGTGTATATCATCTCAAAAAGCCTACCAAGCTTAGAGTAATTTTTGACTGTTCAGCAGAAACTGGTAATTCTTGTTGAGAGTAATACCTGATTCCATTAGGGTGAAAATATGTTGGAATTTGTCATTTTCTGATATATTTGAAAACATATCTGAAATGTTTCATGTAATCAGATATGATTATGGTGGGAGTGTAGCTGCCAGCTGAGCAGAGGATGATGATGACCATTAATTGACTCACAGAATTCACAAATAAGCTACACCCTTCCAGAGGAAAAAAAACTACTTGGGTTAATTTGTTTGTAGGAGAAGACAACACTGTTTGAAGTTTGACATTATTTCTTCAGTCTAAATTTACCTCAGCTGCACGTTGCCCACTGCCTCTCCATGTAAGTTTTGTTGTATTGATCCTTTGTTTGGGTAATTTGTTTGACACTCTATAATCATTGTTTGTTGTTCTTGTGCATCTCCTAGTCAAAGCTACAGATAAAGCAGCTTTATGAGGAACTATTCTGTTTAGCACCCTTGGCCAGCAGAGCAAGGTAAATGTAAGAATATAATCTATTTTCTGTTATGACATTGAATTTGTGTTCACCTTTATTAATGCTTTGTATATCTTTAAACAGTTTTCACGGTGCAACTCATGGAGTGAAATCCAAGGCATTGGACCAGAGAAACTAGGGATGCACCGATACCACTTTTTTCCAAACCAATACCATACTGATACTTGGATCTGAATATTCGCCGATACCGATTACCGATACATCTACCACACAAAAAAATGCAATGATTTGGAATACAGATTTTATTTTCTTCTCTGCTTTCAACAGGAAAAGACTGAGGTAGATAAAACGTAAAATATGAATAGAAATCATCACAAAACTAAAGTATTAGGTGAACAGAAATGACAAGTTACAATGAAGCCATTTTCAAACAACTGCGTTGGTATTGGTTCCTGGTATCGGTTAACTTTTACCGATACCAATAACAGTATCGGCATCGGTATCTGCCTAATGAGAAACAAAAAAGTTTATGCACCCATCGAGGCTCTCTAATCTTTTCTTCATGGTGCCAGGGGAAGCGAAAAATAAAATAATAATAAAAAAGTCAAAATTGCTGTATGAGAAGTGTGGGGGAGACTTGCCCCCCCAACAAAAAAACTCCAATTATGCCCCTGCTATGATCAGTTAAAATATTACAAGCAAGTCCGTCTCACTGGAACTAAATATAATGAACATTTTAAACAAAAATATAAGATAGTTCGTGTATGATCATTTAATCTGTCAAGAGACAACCCGATAAATTATTCATTGGAGTACTCTGGAAGTAAAATTCGCACGCCCTCACGTTTTCGTGTAAGTGATTGACCCATCCGCGGTGCCGTAGTTATGAAAGGCTAAGGCACTCCTCCTGAAAGAACGTTGTAAAGATGGCGACGGCATACGCACAAGCGAAAGTCTGCTGTGCCGGCGGAAAGAAAGTGCTTTAAAGATACGAAATTTCACCTTAATTGCACAGATCAGTCTGTGCAAAGTGTGCAAGACTAGAATTAGACATGGTGTAGTCCATGCACGGCTAGGAAGAAGAGGCCGGTAATCTGCTATGGAGCCTCCGGATCGGAACCAACCCAGCAGGTATGCGGATTTGTTCCAACAGACGCCAACCATCAGGACCTCGCTTTGCTAAATAGGGACCTCCATTGAACTCTGTGGGAGCGCTTGCGTACCCTATTAGAACCCAACTTCCTGTCAAATAGTGCTCCGCTTGCAGTTAATGCATTTGCAACTGTGGAGTTGGAAACTTTTTTGCGCTAATATTTTCATGATGTTTTCCCGCAGTTATTTTGTTTTTTATTCGTCTCCACAGTAGAAGGCGACAGTGCTCTCGTCTAGTGGAGAGGTAGCACGATGAATAAATTGACCAAGCAGTGCAGCATGTTAAGCTAACACCTTGTAGCTGTCGCTTGTCTGTTGTTCGCCGACACAACCAGACCGAGCTGGAGTCTGAGCAGTTTGACAAACTCGTTTCTGTAAGCGGACTTTGAGGTGTGTTGTTTATTGGACATATTTCACATACCTGAAACTTCGCTGGCTTTAAGCTAGCATGTTGCTCTGTTACTGTTAATCCGTAGCTAGACTTTCGCTCCTGTTGTTCATCCACTCTGGACAGTTTGTGCATTTTTTTTCTAAACGTAGGCCATAATTGCTGCTTGCAGAGCTCTACTTAGTTGACGTGTTGCAAATATGTGCAGCGGCGAGTGTTTTGCTAGTCTGCAGGAGTTGTTGGAACATTTCTTGGTTCTTGCAGGTGACTGCGTGCAGATATTTGACATGTTTTGCATCAGATCGGTGCACATCGCGTGATCGAAATTCTGCAGCGTCTGTCCTGACCCTCAAGAATCTGCTGTTGTGTCTTCCTTTCTCCTCCCTTCTCCTTTTCGAGCAGTTGTTTGTGTGCAAAGCGAGGACCTCTTAGGGCATTTATCTCGCTGGATCAGGTCTTGTCATTCCTTATAATCCTGGTTTTCAGTAAATTCCAGGCCTTTTCCCTCTAATGATTAAGTAAGAGGCCAGTTGTGAGCACTCAGTCAAACTAGATACACAAACAGGTCGCATTGTTGTGCAATGCTTGTTGTTGTTATTGCTGACCGACCCAAGTTGCATAAAGAATAAATTGTTATACATTTGAAAAACACGCTGTGCTCTTCATATTTCATACCCACATTTGTTGTGTTGCCCATATTAGTGAGCAACTTGACCTCTGATTGCAAATCTTAATTTTTTATAATAATAGGAAGAAACATGATGTTTAAAGGGGTGTGTTTTTGCAGGGATTTGACATCTACGCTGCAGGGATCTGCAAATAAATGGCATTTCGATGCTGACATGGCGTGCATGCATCACTACATGCAAAAATCTGTTTTGTTATTTGCATTTCAGTGAGTGTGGACTCGAGCATATACGTCTGCACGCTACTGTGCTTACAAAGATGTGCTTGCATAGCAATTGAAAGCTATCTCTATCTTTGCAAGTACAGAGGTCCTTTGTCAATAATGCCTCATTCTCAGTCCGTCTAAAGACTTTGTGGTTCACAGGCATTCCAGAGATTTCAGGATGTGGTGCGCTGTGTGCTGTAGATTTCTGCTTGGAGTCCCAGTGGCTCTCTTTTAGCTAGAACTCATTAATGCCCACTTTTGCCAGCACACACAGGCTGCAGAATACAGATGGACTGTCCTCCAGCATTTCCTAACTACATCCTATCTCTGCCCACACCTGCTTTCGAGTGAGAAAAAAAATCATGCTCTCACATTCTCTCTCTCTCTCTCTCTCTCTCTCTCTCTCTCTCTCTCTCTCTCTCATCTGTTATTTTTTCCTTTTGAGACACTAAAATCTTTGTAATAGCTACACCGCGGCGGCGGATGTTACCAAGATTGTGGAGGAGAGTAAATAATAAAAATGCAAAATGGCAGCGATTAAGTCCTGGAAATGAAAAGCTTGTCTGATTTGCTTTGACATTTGTAACGTGCGAAGCTGCAAAAGAAAGTGCAAGTTGAATCTGTTGCTTATGACGAAGGAGTTTCAGATTGACTTACAAATGTGGGGCATTTACAGTGCATGTGGTTAAAAAAAATTGAAGAATTCACCCCATTCATGCCACAACAAGTCTGAAATGGTAAACACAGCGTGCATTTACTGTAACATAATATCTTGTAGAAAAAGGCTTTTGTTGTGCACACACACATTCACTATTCTTTACATAGTTGAATGCCAGAGAGGGAGGTCCAATTCTGGCAATGTCACACTGTTCCAGTGAACGGGTGTGGTCAAGTACGTTGTGTTCATTGTTTCTGAATTCTGGAGAGCTATGATAAAAACTAATCTCTGCCTCCGTCCTGCTTGTTTTTCATAGAACACGTCAGAGATCCATATATTTTATTAGCCAGGAAACATATCTAGGATTCAAATTGCATGTACTTTTTTTTTTCTTTCATCGTTGTTGCATAACGGTTATGTTAAGGAAGTAGTGTAGCTGATGCATGCTTTTTACAGTGGGGGGTAATCAAAGTATGCATTTAGCCTGCAGAGCTTCAGTTATGCCTGCGTGACCCAATTAGAGCAAAGTGTGCTCTTACAAAACCCCAACCACCTTCTCCTCCTTTTCCTCTCTTTAAAAAAAATTCTTTTCGTTTGGACATTGTGCGCAAGTGTGCTCACTTACCAGCTGTGTGGCATTCAGCTGTGGGCCTCACGGGCCACGTGTCACAGCCATTCAACAGAGTGCCCCTTGCTTGTACAATAGTATAGATGGTGGGTGTCAAAGGTCAGCCCCCCCCCCCCCCCCCCCCCCCCCCCCGACTCTGGCAGCCTTTAGTATCACTGCGTCTGTCTCTATTCAGGAAAGACTTTCGATTTTGTGCTGTTTACTATTCACTTAGTGTTTCTGCCGGGGGGCTGTAGCATTCCACCGGCCTTTATTGCAGATGAGCCATTGAGAGCAGCCAGACACCATCTGCAGTGATAATTCACTAGTGGCAGCCAGCAGGGGCAGCTTGAGGACCATGCAGGGTGGCGGTGGTGGTTAACTGCAGGACACACAGGCCAAGAACTTTCTCCGTGCCGTCTGTGCGTAGGTTTAGGGGAAATTAAAAAGAGGGGGGAAATCTGAAGAATTTTCACTGCAGCTGCACAGTGTGCTTGGAATGCCCCATGGCAACCCTAACAAACAACCGGCAGTGATGGCGTCACTGGTTCTGCTTTCATTCCTGAGAGATTCAGTCATGCTGTTCTGCATAGACAAGTGTCTTTTTAAAAACATGGTTTCATTCTCTCTCTGTACTATTTTTAATCTTCAGTAAATGGCTCGTATGTCTTTAGATGCGGACGATCCCACTGCCTGATTTGTCTTTTGTGAAAGATGCAACAGAAAAGGTTTTTTAGAAGTTTTGTTGAGATTTGGTTCATAAACAGATTTCCGTTTTTGCTGAAACTATTCTCAGCATTGATGTAAATGCATTATTGTAAAAAACTAGCCAAAAATCCTGCAGTCATTTTTAGGCTTACAAATCAACTTTGAAGATCTGAAGGAAGGAGGCTGGAGCACTGGGGTGAGTGAGTATTATTTAGGTGCAAAAAAATTTGCTACTAACTTTTTGACAAAAAGCTCAAACCATTAGCGACTTTTTTTGTACCAAATAGTCACTCACCTGAGTGCACCCACCTCCTTACTCCAGATCATCTGTTCATAAGCTGTAGAGCATCGATTTGAGACTGGATGACGTGCTGGGAGCTCCATCCATCCATCCATCCATCCATCCAGTTTTGTCCACGTAGGGTCGCGGGGGCTTCATCCTACAAAGATTTAGTCTCACTGCACACGAGGCACTTACAGCTGCAATAGCAAATCTGCAAAACAAGCTAGCTTTTAAGCACAAACACGGTAACGGAACACTTACCCCTGCCGTCGTCTATATGTAATCATCTCTAGACCACGTCCACCTTAAACCTGCATTGTCCGGGAAAACGAGAGAGCACTAAACACCAGTCTCCGTTTTCTAGGTCCAGACGTCTTTTGTTGTCTTTGACTTCAAAAGATGTTTTTCTTTTGGGGACTCTGGTAGTTGTCCTAAAGTAGAAGTGGTAGCATCCGGCTGTTTTCCCTTCATTGACATTATCGAGTGGAGAACCTCTCACCAGTGGTGTTCCGTTGCTAAATGCATGAGCGTGCAATGAGTGGACGACCCAGGTAAATGCGAAGGTGTGGGGGTTCAGTGAGACGAGACAACCGGATGGTCAAATCATTGGTTTTGGACCAAGCCGTGTTATTGGCTGAGGTTTTTGATAAATGCGAAAAAACCACATCATTAACTTTTTCTTTTCTTTTAATCTCCACAAAATAGTTATAGCTATACTCTATGAGGCATGAAAATATATTTAGAGTTAGCTTGTTTAGCTGATTTGCGATTTTAACTTCAAACCAGAAAACCAGTGTTTTTACTTCGAGGGAACCATCTAGAGGCAGAAAAATATATCGCACCTTTAAGCCCTTCTTCAGCTATAAGCAACGCCTCTCATTCATAAACGTGCACCTCTACAATTACAATGTGTATGTATATAGCACCGCGTCTACTTCTGATCAATATGTGAGTGGAATGTGGAGATCCTTCCAACTTCAGGTTCAAGGTAAGTTCTTTGCCGGTCCTTGAGGCGCTTTTCGGCAAGTTTAGTCTGGGCTTTTTCTTCATTTTTGTCTGTCTTCTAGTTGAAGCAGGCAGTTGTGGAATTGTTATTTTCTGTGGCTGTGAAGCTGCTGCCCCATGGTTCTCTGTGTCTGCACAGCTTTGTAAACAAAGCAAAAACACAGCTTAGTCAGGTACTTCCGCAAACTCGTATGCTCTGTGCTTTACGTATATATGTAAGCAGATGCCCAATGCTATTGGCCAATGCTGAGTGGTGGTCAAGTAAAAATTGTATGGGGCTTTACGGAACAGCGGGCGTGCTTAGGAAAACAAATTCACTTATCACAAAAGAGTCAGACTCTTATGGATTTCTATAAAATCGTACATAATCCCTATAAAGGGGAATACTCAGCATTTCTGCCAGAATACGTTATTGTCACAAATATGATACATGTGGCCGAAAATTACTTTAATCGTACTAGAATGTTTCATACATGCACTTCGTATGCTGCTGCTGTGTTTTGCCCTCGTTCTGTCAGTTTTACTTGCGCTGCCTTTTTAAAAGCACCAGCACAATACGCATGGGAGTGTAGCCTTCTGAAGAGGAAAAGGTGTGTGCCGTTTGTCAGGCAAGACGAAATAAAAGCATGCTTGCAAAGCGGAAAGTGTCAAAAAAATTCATTATAATCATTTCTCACCGATTGCATTAGTGCTGTGACTGTTTTGGAGCTAAAACTGAAATTTTGCTGTATACCCAAACATGCAGAATAAGCAGTAGGTGTCTGTCTGCCTTGGATGTCAGTCTGCAGCTGCTCAGGGGTTCATTGTTAGTTTTAGACAGGTTTTACTTTGGGCCAGATGGGCGATAGAATCTGGATCTTCTGTCTTTAAGCTCCCTCAAAAGCTTCAGCAACAGATTCCACCCACTCCCTTAACACCGTTTCTCCCCAGGGAACGTAGCCCTTTCTATTCCGTCCTCACAGGCACGTGTTGGGGAATGCCTGTCAGTCCGACAATTGATGGTGACCATTGTAGGTATCACTCATTTTAATTCTTCTCAACATCTTTTTCTTGTTCCTTTTCTTTGAGAAAAGAGAAGCTTCAAAATCTTCCTCTAATCCTGTTTTAGGAAAAAAGAAACACCCATTGAGAGGCATAAAGGCATCTGAGAACAAAGCTACTGACACCGTGATCCGGGAAGGCGTGCCATTTATTCTTTTTTTCCGAAAACAAAGTGTTTGAAGTCAATTTGAGTGTTTCCTTCCCGCAGGGTTGGAGCTAGCATATCTGACGTTTTATTAACAGGAATTCACAGTCGTTCCAAAATGTTTTTGAAGTAACCAGGATGTCTACATCGTTATTGCTGCTCTAGTTTCATGATAGTCTCATGAAATTACAGGTTGTTCGTCTTTGTCATTTTGGTTTAAGAGTATTGCACTCAGGACCTTTGTCGTGTTTGTCTGAAACTTTGGCTTTTGCGGCATGGTTGGTGACTAAGCAGATACAGCTAATACGCATGGTTGTGTATCTCCATCTGCTCAAGCTATCATGTTTACCACAGGTCATTGTCCTGCTCCCAGACGACTTTGGTAATGCAGAGTATTGTTATATATTTAGAAAGCAGCCAGACTCCAAGAGACAGTCTATCTGAGAACGTCTGCAGGAGCGGACCTTGAGTATAATTACAATTTAGCAACGTGTTTGTTTTGCCTCAGTGGCGATTTGCTGTGCACCCTTTAATGGGTGCAAGCAACCGGGAACAGCTTGTACTCATACAAGAACTTTTTAGGTTTTAGTTTTTGACGAGCCATCTCTCCTTGTTCATGATGCAAAATAACCCACCTTATGTCCAGTCTATAGATTTTTTAAATGTTGTTTGTTCTTCACAGGCAAGACAGAAAAGATGCATCCCAACAGAACTCTGAGATGGAATACTCCTGGGACTCTTCCAACGAGGAAGAAGACCCCGACTATGGCACCTCACCTCCTTGCACCTCGCGTCAGAAGAAGCGCATGTTTCCCAAGCATCCAAAACGTAGACAAACATCATAAAATCTGTCGAATCATTGTATGAAAACGATGCATGATGCTCACTGTAAGTCTGTTTGTGATCCATCAGATGTTAACCCCTCCATACAGAAAAAAAGTCCCAAGCCAGCAGATATCCCAGAGGAGCACAGGCACAAGATAGACGAGAAACAGAGGGCCACGCTACGTTCGACAGCAAGAGACCAGAAGAAGAAATTTGAAGGTGCTTTCATGCTAGATCCTAAGTCAAGTCACTTTGGGTCCATTAACATGGATCCCAGGAAGCATTACTTAAGCTTGGGCTGCAGCAGCGTCAAGCTGCCCGTGTCTATGCCTCATCTAGCCCGGACCCACCGGCAAACCTCCAGAACGGACTGTCCCGCTGACCGCCTCAAGTTCTTTGAAACTCTTCGGCTGTTACTTAAGCTCACGTCTATGTCCTCTAAGAGGAAGGAGAAGGAGCAGAGAGGCTTGGAGAACATGGGGTACAATGGTCACAACAACGAGGTCATCTGGTTGGAGCTGCAGGCGTGGCACGCACGGCGTTCCACCCCCGATCAGGACCTTTTTCTTTTCACTGCCCGCCAAGCTATCCCTGACATCATCAATGAAGTGCTGCAGTTTAAGGTCAACTATGACAACCTGAAAGGAGCTCAGGGTTCAGAGGCTCAAACAATCAAGGAGGACTGTCAGAGTGTCCCCGATATTCTCTCTGGAGAGGAGAGGGAAGGCTTTGTAGCAGAGACCAATCACTGTGGAGGAGATTCCTGGGGCTTTAGTGCGTGTCCCTCATCAGCATTAAATGCAGCAGAGCCGCTAGGTTCTGGCGTAGATTGCAAGGAACACCTTCAACGCCAACGACTTGCCTTTGAGCAGGTCAAGCGTGTTATGGAACTTTTAGAATCGGTTGAAGCTTTGTACCCCTCTTTGACGGCCCTACGAAGGGACTATGAAAAATATGCAGCTCGAGACTTCCAAGGCAGGGTGCAGGCACTCTGTCTGTGGCTCAACATTACCCAGGACCTCAATCAGAAGCTGCGCGTCATGGCCACTGTGCTGGGCCTCCACGATTTATCCCGCATCGGGTGGCCTGTCTTTGAGATCCCGTCACCTCGCTGCTCTCGTGGGAATGAAGAAGAAAATGACGAAGACGAGAATGACTCGACAGCCACTTTTACAGCTGAAAGTGATGAGGAGGACAGAGATGGTGAGGAAGAGGGGGATGACGAGCATGGTGCAGAGGAAGAGTTGTCCCCAACACTAACTCCTAAATTTGCCCGAATGCTGTCAGAGGAGGAGTTTCTCCCTGCTGCTACTTCTGGAGGTTCAGAAGTGACCGCAGGAGGAGAAGCTTTCTGCCCTACAGCCATTTACAGACCGTTTGTTGACAAAGCTTTGAAGCAGATGGGACTGCATAAACTGATTGTGAGACTGCACAAACTCATGGACCGCTCTCTTCAGAGGGCAAGAGCAGCGCTGCTTCGACACACCCCTGCAGTGGAGGTAAGACGATCCTTCCTTAAAGGTGTCTTTCATTGAGAAACTATAATACTTGTTCTTTTTGAAATACGATCAGTCACTCTGAGTTTCACACGCATGCTGAACATTAAAATAGTCTTCAAACCTTATTGCCGGAATTAGCCACGAAAAGGATATGGATGGGATCTTTCTTCTACGTCACAGAGAACATTAGTTCAAAGCCTAGCCCAACTTGGCGTGCGACTGCAGACAGGAAGGGTGTGTTTTTGTGGCAAGGAGAGAGTGGAGTGCATCAAGCAGGGAGGCATCGGGTCCCATTTTTAAAGTCTTTGGTATTACCCGACTGGGATTTGAACCTCGATCTTGCAGTCTCAGGGCGGACACTCTACCACTGAGAAGGTGCATCACATCCTTTTTCTAAATAAATTACTTATGTACCTCTATCTGCTCTTGACTCAAAAACCCCAGGTCAAAAAAGTCCAAAGTTGATGCCAAAGCTGTTTCAAACAAGCCGCTGCCATCTTTGTTGTTTTGCTCTGTCGTAGGAACATCCCACCCACCAATCCGCGCTGTGCTTGGCAAGGCACAAGGTCCACTGAGGATTTTATGGCTTGTGGCTAGATCGGCCTGCAAAGCTAAATCATTTCACATAATGCTACAGTCGGTCTTGATTTCTAAGCTAAAGTTCTTCACCACATTTACAGAAAATGCACCATAATAGGACGTGAGTTGGTGTCAGGATATGGGACCATGGTTGTATCACACAGTTCTTTTCATGCTGGTGTTTCTGTCATTTCAGTATATATTTGGACTCCCTTGTTTTTTATTTAATTTTTTACATTATTTATTGTGCTTGTGATGCACCTTGTGATTTTTTATCTTGTAGGACCATAGACAAAAAATAAAAGTTCTTCTACTTATTACTACCAAACGGTTTTTGAAAAATCCTAGGGTTAGTTAGACCTGCAGACCCACTGCATCTTTTTCTTCCTCAGTTTGCTGACTTCCCAGACCCCATGATGGACAGCGAATACCTGCCTGAGCTGTCACGCCACTTGTCCTGCAGTGGTCCTACTGATCCAGAAACAGAAGCTGACCAAGTGTCCTGGGAGGATCTGCTGGGTATGGATCTCCCATCCTTCCAGCCGGCTTTTCTCGTGCTTTGCCGAGTCCTCCTCAATGTTATTCACGAATGCCTTAAACTAAGACTTGAACAGAGGCCGGCTGGAGACCCATCGCTGCTCAGCATTAAGCAGCTGGTTCGTGAATGTAAAGAAGTTCTTAAAGGAGGCCTTCTGATGAAGCAGTATTATCAGTTTATGCTGCGTGGGCTGGTGACCGATGCTCAAGGCTGGCAGACGAATGCGAATATTGATGAGTTTGAGGAGGATCTTCACAAGATGCTGGTGGTAAGAATCTTCCCTTCTTCGTTTACTCAAATTATAAATGGACAAAAACTGGATAGTTTTGTAATTTGGAACTGTAAAAGTTCATAAACGGGGTTGTGTATATATAATATACGTATAATACGTTTGTTTTTGCAGGTTTACTTTGAATATATGCGCAGTTGGATCAGAATGTTGCAGCAGCTGCCTCAGGCCTCTCACAGTCTAAAGAACCTGTTGGAGGAGGAATGGCACTTCACTAAAGTCATCACTCCTTACATTCGTGGAGGCGAGGCCCAGTCCGGGGAGCTTTTCTGGTGAGTAAACCTGCAAGGGTTCAATCGTGCCATTCTCGGTGCTGTCTGGCAAAAAATGTTGAGTTCATATTATACAATGTGTATTATTTTATCGTTGGTGGTAAAAAAAAAAAAAAAAAAAAAAAATACACACAACGTCTCCCTCAAACAGCATAATGATTAATTTCACCAGTGTAGGTGATAGAGGTGTGAATCTTCACTTGTCTCCCGATTCGATTCGATTACGATTACTGGGTCAACGATTCAATTCGATTCGATATCCCGATGCATCACGATTATTTCATATTGATTTGTTTTCATCGATAAATAGAAGATGTCAGATAATTGCTTTTTATTTTTTTATCTATTTTTTTGATCCCCAGTGAGTCGTGGAGGATGGCTGCTTCTACTGAGCCAGGATTCTCTGGAGGTTTCTTCCTGTTAAAAGGGAGTTTTCCTCTCCACTGTCGCTGCATGCTTGCTTAGTATGAGGATTGCTGTATAGTCACTGACACTAGTCAGTGACTTGATGCAATTTGCTGGGTTCCTTATATAGGAAACATTATTTCTTATTGGCTTAATGAACTGTGAATTGGAATGTTTATTATGTGAAGTGCCTTGAGACGACTCTTGTCGTGATTTGGCGCTTTATAAATAAACTTGAATTGAATTGAATCTAAAACGTAATTGACACAACCTGCCATCCCTCAAAAGCTCTCCATTCACAACAGGTTAGGACAAAACATTTTAAACATTTCAGAAGATTTAACAAAGTAAAACAATCTGTTTCCTGGTTCAACACCAGGCCTCAGGCTGAGAAAAACACTCTTTGCAAAAACTCACAAAATCTAAAAAAGTACTGAAAACCTTCAGGACACATAATGTAATAATAAAATCCATAATGGATTCATATATGAGTGTTTAATGTCTCTGAGCAGCTCTAGAGTCAAATATTTATGCCACAGTTGAAGGGTGTCAGAAATAACACCAAATTAAATGTTTGACTTAATTTCATTTGAACCCAGTGGTTCATTTCTGAAATGTTGGAGAATGAATCAAGTTCTGTTTGATGCAGAAAATAAAACATCAAACAAATTCTACACTTCCAATAATATTTAAGATGTGTGTTTTATTCTTCCTGATAATAACACCAGCTGAAGGCTGTGGGCTGGATTAGGATTAAATTACCCAGCTGATGGATCTCCTTCACTAACCAGCTAACTACAAACCTTTCCACTAACCTGTCCTGTGTGACCCTCACCATGTGACCCTCATGTCCATGCTGTCTCTGGAGGAGCAGATAGGAAACAAGACCTCCTGTAACTTAAAATGAACCAAAGCTTCCTCCCAGCTTCTCTTGAAGCTGAATTTAACATCAGTTTATCATCATGAAAAAAAAGAATAAAGTGGAACGAGAACTTCCATTTCCCTCTCCTTTTAACTTATCCGTCTCCCTAAATAAAAGAGACAGACGATCACGCTGCAGCCGCCGTCACTGACCCCGCCCCCTCCCCAAGACCGGATCTCCCTACATTACAACAAGCAGTCTGACTGAGCGCTTCCAGGAGAAATAATAATTAAATTATGAAAATAACGCGTGTTTGGAGCATCGGTGTGGAGGAGCGTCCTCCGATCGTCTCTCTTGTGTGAGCAGACAGTCTCTCTCTCTCTCTCTCTCTCTCTCTCTCTCTCTCTCTCTCTCTCTCTCTCTCTCTCGGTCGCTGATCGAGCGAGCGGAGCGCGCCGCACGACAACCCGCTCAATTAACATAATTCACGGCCCAAATCAAACAGAACCGGTCGGGCTGATTCGGTTCCGGTTTGGTCTCAGGTGACAACTCCAGCGCTCAGCCCTGCAGTACCACATTAAGGCGGAGGTAAATGTGGAGGACGCTCACTCTGACAGATTTGGATGCTGCGCTAGTGCCGCCGTTAAAAAAACAGAACTGCATTCCACTATAATCGATTATGGCGTACTCTTCTACGATGCAGAATCGTTTATGTCCGCATCCCGATGCATCGATTATTTGATTATTTTCCTCAGCTCTAGTAGGTGACTAAAGCAAACCTTTAATAATTTTCTTTTCTTCTGGACAAGTAGGAGTTCTACTCGGCCTTTCCACCGGACGCGTAAGCTTCGCATAACTTTCGCAAAGCACAGTACGCAACAATTAGTTGCTGTTATAGCTGATGGGTGTGTTTTTACTTGCTGCAAATTGTCACATTTTGGACACATCCCAGAAGTGCTTAACTAGTAAAAAAAAAAAAATCTGCGTCATTTAGGGATGGGTACCGAATTCGGTACTTTTTAAGGTACCGACCGAATTCAACAGTACCGACTGAGCACCGATTCACGTCATTTCAAACGGTGCCTCGTTTCGGTACCCGTCCTTCATAACGAGAACTTGCCAAGACAGCTGCGCATGCGCAAGAGCGTTATGTCGTCGGTCCCTGCGAGCAAGTTGTAAACAGAGCAGCATGGTAGAAAGAACGCACGCTAAAGCTTGGGTCCACTTCACTAAATGTGATGGGTAACTGGGTGATGATGAAACCAGCGACAACGATCTAAGAGACATCCTCATCTTAATTTGCTCCGGTAGGTAAATAAAATGTTTAAGATAACGTTAGCTTGATATGTTAGCTTCCGTTCCGCTAATGGTGCGTTCGCTTTCTCCTCGGAACTCCGAATTTCCGACTAGAACATGAACGCGCTCTAAAGTTTGGCTTCACTTTACTAAATGCGACGGGTGATTGGGTGAAGATGAAACCAGTGACAACGATCTAAGTGTGAGGCATCATCGTTTTAATCTGCTCCAGCAGTTAAATAAACTGTTTAAGATAACATTAGCTTGATATGTTAGCTTCCATTGCCACCATTGTTATCAGCTAATGGTGCGTTCGCTTTCTCCTCTGAAATTCTAACTTCCCAGTAGGAAAAATCAAATGAAAAAGGACGGCAAAAGTAATGAAGATAGACAGTAAATTTAGTTCACAGTAAAGATGTTTGCTTCAGTTTAATTATCAGCTTATAAAACTACAAGGACGATGTTAAAATACAAACAGTTGAATGTTATTTATCGTGAAATGTATTATTTATTTATCAAATATTGTTATATATTGAGAAAAATATATATTTAATTATAAAAGAGAATTAAAATAATAAACACTCAAAAGTATCAAAAATTGGTACCGTTAAGTACCGGTATCGATTCCTAGGTACCGGGAATTAGTACCGAATCGATTCAAATGTCAAAGGTACCCATCCCTAGCATCATTATTTCTGGCGATATCGTGACCTTGCAAGACCAACTGCGTGGAACACTGTAACTGTTGTTTCGCATCAGAAACGATTCCAATGGGGAGGGACGCGTTGCTGAGCTCATGTGGAAAACATGTATTATGCAAAAGCAAGGCAGTTTTATTTGTAAAGCACATTTTATACACAAAAGCTATTCTATGTGCTTTCCGGGTGCAAGAACATAAAACACTAATATCAATGTGACAACATAAAACAGCAGATTTTAAAATCAAATTTAAACTACACAAATTAAATTTGATCAAATTTAAATACACAAATACATTCAAAGTAACAAAAAGGTAAAAAGGCAAAGTTAAAAGCTGAGCGGTTACAGTGCAGCATAAGAAACATTCATCCAAAGGCTGATGAATACATGAATGTTTCTAATATTTATTTAAAAGTTACTACAGTTGGGGAAGATTTGAGGTCCTGAGGAAGCTGATTCCATCTGTGAGCAGTATTACAGCTAAAAACAGCTTCACCCTGTTTGGTTCTGGCCCAGCTGACTGTTTCCTAAGGATCTCAGAGCTCTGCTGGAAAGAGATGCAACATGTATTTTGGCCCAATGACATTGAGTGATTTATAAACTAGTAGAAGCATTTTGAAATTGAATTTGTAGTTTAGCGGTATCCAGTGTAGAGATTTGAGAACAGGAGTGACGTGCTTGGTTCTTGTTGAGACTAGGGATGTCGCGATGCAACTTTTTCTCTTCCAATACGATATCGACATTGCAGCCTTCAGTATTGACTGATACCGATATCTATCTGATACGATATCTGCACCAGTCATACTTACTTTTACCTGTTTCATGGGTGTGGAATGTATGAAAGTCTTGATCAAGTGATATTACTCAATCTGAGAACAAGAACCAATAACAGACAGTATAAAAAATGACTTTTTCTTTCTTTACCATTGGTTGCAAAAATGTGAATCTTAAGGGCCTGCTTATATCGGAGATTTTTGATGCCATCCGATATAATCAGATACACTGTTTTTGGGCCGATATCTATATCGGAACGGGACAACCCTTGTTAATACTCGAAGCTTACACGTCTGGTGGAAATACGAATACGAAAGTTAAGCCAAAAGATGGAAAACAATGGCAAACATATTACAGATTTCTACACAACCCAACTTTTTCTGTATCCTGTGATTTCACAAATTAAACATCACAGATGGTATGGTATACTTTTTTTTAAATCAAATTACTTTTGTATCAAAAAGTGTAAATCTGCCAAAGTCAGACTTGCAGCGTCACCTCATGTATTACACATTTTCCGTTGTTCTGCGAGTCATATTACAACAAAGCTGGTTATGGATATAAGAAAACATCGATATGGCAATCTATCGCAATGTTTGTTCCTGCGATTTTATATTGATAATCGATAGCTGGTTATTGAATTTTTGGAAGAATTTTCATGCAAACATTTGTGTGTTTTCTTTTCTGTTGGTGCAATTCAAACACCGACTGCTAGTTGGCAGCAGTGTGCAAAGGGTTTTGTTTCCACCATTTAAATGTAAACCCCTCTAATATGGTTCAAATACCTCATGTTAAACATGTTACGTATCAGTTTGGACTGTTTGTTGAATTTTCCTGCAGAAAATTCAGTCTAACATCGTCCGTCTGAATGTATCGTATCGTCTCCCCTGTATCGTGATACGTATCGTATTGCCAGAGTTTCACCAACATCCCTACAGCTGGCCATCATTGTGTACCTGCAGAAAGCCACTTGATGTAAAAGTTTACAGAAATTCACTTGACCTGTTGTAAAAATTGTTAAGATGAGAGTTCTTTTAAACATTAAGATTTTTTAGAAGCTTATTTTTAGAGAAAACGTTAGTTTGACACCTTCATGAGAAGTTCCCTCTGATTTTATAAACGTAAATAGCTCTGACTACTATCTGCTGCAGGTAAGACACTGGCCGTTCAGAAACACTTTAAACAGCTTAAACATTTAAACTGAGCTTGTTTGTGAAGTGAACCGAATGGATGCCTGTGATTTTCTGTGCAGTAACATTGCCGGGATGCTGCTCGAATCCACTGGAGAGTTTCTTGATGCCGGTCTGCTGAAAAGTGGCAATAAATTCTGGGAAAGTGCAGATGATAGCACAGCTTTGGACGAGATCAGGTATGCAAGATCAAAGGTTTCACTTTTTCAAAAACTTTAGCCCCTGTGTTGGTGTTTAGAACTGTTTGATTTGTGCAGGCGGTCGGTAATTGAAACTAGCCGCTCACTGAAGGAGCTGTTCTATGAGGCCCGGGAGCGAGCATCCAAGGCTCTGGGCTTTGCCAAGATGCTTCGCAAGGTGAGAACCAGCAGTCACTCTGCCTGAAACGAGAAAGTCACAGCCACATTCTGCCCACTGTGCTCTGACAAACTGTTGTCCTGTCTCCAGGATTTGGAAGTTGCTGCAGTTTTCAGCATCACCAGCGGGGTGACTTGTCTCTTAGAGGCACTGAAAAAGGGGAATTATGTCAAGGTGCGCTTGATTTTCAATTATCTTTAAAGAAATTGAAATGTTTCTGTTTTTTTTTTTTGTTTTTTTTCGTCTTTGGGTAATTTATGTCTCTTCGAAAATCCACCTTCTGTCTCCAGGTTCAGATACCAGGCTTGGAAGAACTGCAGGTTTTCGTCCCCTGTGGCTTGATGGACCAGCGGCCTCTCATCCTGCAGCTCCTGAATGCCGCCGCTGGCAAAGACTGCTCCAAAGAGCCCGATGAAATAGCCGAGTATGAAGCCTACCTGCTCATGAGCAAACACGGAGCTGGGGATTCCACCACAGGTTCTGATTGGGCCCAGTGGGATGGAAAGCTCCTCAAACTGGTCCCGCAGATGGAAACGGTCGACACTTTAAGGGCCATGAAGGTTGGTGTGACTTATTGTTCAGCACTGTGGTGTTCAGAAGCAATTTACTGACGCTGCGTGTCTTCCAGGTGGAGAATTTGCTCTTGATCGTGATGCAGTCGGCTCACCTGGTGTCCCAGCGAAAGGCTTTTCAGCAGTCCATGGAGGATGTGCTCACTCTGAGCCGGGAGCAAACATCTAGTCAGCCTCTCATCGCTAGCGCCCTGGAAGATCTCAAGGTATTTGCTGGAGAGATAGTTATGTTTCACTGTCCTAATTTCACATCTGTTTCTGCTGCAGCTGCTATCACCTACCCTAAAAAGGGAACACGCTAACCCTTCATTGCTGTTCCATTAAATACCACATCATCCTAAATCAGCAGAAGCAGTGTTCTGTTTTCACGATGTTGTTTTGACGTCAGAACAAAGCCCTCCAACTATGCCTGAAGATAGATCAAGCCATCGACCAGGTGGAGTTCATGTTCACCTCCGAGTTTGAGGCGGAGATGGAGGAATCGGAGTCGGCCACTCTGAATCAGTACTACAGAGAAGCCATGATTCAGGGATACAACTTTGCCTTTGAGGTAAAAGCCTTTTAAGGATTTATAATCCTGACACTAGTGTGTGTTTTTAGTTTTTTAGTTGAATTGTTTACTTTTGTTTTATTCACAGTACCACAAGGAGGTGGTCCGCCTGATGTCAGGGGAGTTCAGACAGAGGATCGGGGAACGCTACATAGCTTTTGCACGCAAATGGATGACATATGTTCTAACCAAATGTGAGAGTGGTAGAGGCACCAAGCCCAGGTGAGACAAGACTTTCTTTTTACGTGTACTCACTGGTGTTTCAGTAGTTCACGTCTTTATTTTTGCCTGTGGTTGGGTGCGAGGTCTGTTAGCTGGTGTAACTTTGTTTTACAAATGGAAACTCTGTAAAGCATGTGAAACTTTGTTAGGGCTCAAAATAGCCCTGGAGCCCTGATAAATGGCCAACTAAACCTCATAATATATCCTTATAATGGAGATGCAGGTTAGTCCCGCCCACTCAGCTAAGACATGAATATTAAATGAGCTGTGTGCCGATAGCCCGGTTTACCTCATGTACAGTTTCCAGATAACTCAACAGAGCAGGCTATGGACCTATCTGGCATTCAACGTTGTAATATTCCTAGGACATCCTGGAACGACACATGTGCTCAAACATTCTTCTTTGTTTTCGTCTTGTCCAATAAGGATGTTAGCAGTAGCTCGAGCTAGCGTTAGCAGTAGCTTGGGCTAGTGTTAGCAGTAGCTTGGGCTAGTGTTAGCAGTAGCTTGGGCTAGTGTTTGCAGTAGATATTGATGCCGATATATTGTCCATCCCTACTTTCTAGGTTAATAAAAATGGTCAGAATGGGAATGTGGAATTCAGAAAAACCTGAGTTTGGCACAAAAAAAAAAGATTTCATAGGGCCATAGTATTACTGCCAAAAAATTAAATAACAACAAATGTTTTTTATAATTTGTTAAATGGTCAGATTTATTGTTATCGTCGGAATACTCTGAAAAATCGTGACATTATGTTTCGGGCATATCATCCACCCCTGAGTTTTTGTAGACTGGTGGGCTATTCCTTTTTCCTTCCTAGTTGCTTTCATCAGATAAATGGAGAACAAAAGTTGAGAGTTGCTTCCAGCTGAGGTAATTACAATGTGGTTGTACGAGCTCTTCAGTGCAGGTCGTCTTTTAGCTATAAAAATAAAATAAACCCACTAAAGAGATAGCAGCCAGAGACATTAGGAGAGGCTAAATGTATGATTTGGTATGCTTGGGCTCAGGATTTCAACAAAAGCTAGTAGAGCAACAGAATTATGAGAAGAATCAAAATACTCAAATCCTGTTGAGAAACACTCACGTCTGGAGTTCAGTGTAACCTATACATCAGCATCACTACTAAACCTTTGGTGCAGTGGGAAGTGTGAACATACAAGGCTTCCTGTAGAACTGGGTCATAAGTGTTTATCGACAAACCACAGATCAGTCCTGGATTCTAAAGTCTGATTATCTGTATAGAAATGCAGCAAAGTCGATGAGAAACAGCAGCTCTCCCTCCCCAAGCAGGCTTTTACTATCCATGTGACATGTAAAGTCACACAATCTCACTCAGGTGTTCCTCTTCTACAGGTGGGCAACTCAGGGATTTGACTTCCTTCAGGCCATCGAACCCGCCTTTATATCTGCATTACCAGAAGAAGACTTCCTGGTAAGATTACCACCTTATTTCTTTTCTTTTATTTATTTATTTATTTATTTTTTCTGTTGTGTAGATTCTAAGGTTGGGCAATTGGACGAATTTATTGATTTTTGACGATAGACCAAGTCCTTCACCAATTTTTTTTTAAAGCAATATTTTTTTAATGCCTACGAACTAGCCTCTTGGATGGGACATTATAAACTTCCATGTCCAACCAGTGTCTTTTATGCATTATTTTTCTATGTACATACTGTATACATATTATACATCACTAAAGCTGGGATTCCTGTGATTCAAATGATAAATGCCAATCATGAGACAACCATAACAGAAGACACAGTAAACACTTTTGTCAAGCTTCTCGATAATTCAAAAAAATGCACAACTCACTGTTTGAATTCTCAGATTATTGCCAGAACAGAGCTGTCTTGAACAAAAACGGTCTTTTTACATTTATATGAGTCCAATAAAAGTACTACGATAAAATAGTTAGTCCACAAAAAGTCTTATGTCCACAATCCAACTTCATGTACCAATAAAAACCTTCAATTTTTCCCTCAGATGCGTCACCCTCTCACCATAACTCTTGTTAGCTTTCACAAATTCAAACCTTTGATCAACATCTTACTTGCATTAACAGGTGAAGGTTGCCCCCCTCTGCTGAGGCAACGTTTTCTACCATTGGCCGATGGGTCAAAAGTGCCTCTCCCTGTTAAGGTTGGGCAATCGGATGAACTATTCAACCATCAACAATAGGCCAAACCCTTCGCCAATCATTTTTTATGAGTGGTATCTTTTTTTAGTCCTGTGAATTAGTCTGGCAGATGGGACATTGAATACTTCTATGTGAAATCATAATCTTTTCTGCAACACTATCTCTATGCACATACATGCATCATTTAAAAGCTAAGATTAATATGATTCCAATGATATATGGCAATCAAGGATTCATCTATAACTGTAGATGGAAAACATTTTTATCAAACCACTCAGAACTTCAAAAAAATGTCTAACTCGCCATTCGAAGCCTCATACCACTGACAGAATGGTCTTTTTATATCCAGAAGTCCAAGAATAGTACTACAATTAAATAGTTAGTCCAAAATAAGTCTTAAGTTCACAATCCAACATGTCAGTAATCAATTAATAATTCTAAATTTCCCTCAGATGCATCTCTTTAACTCTCTTATTACCAACCTGTCGCCGCCGACAGGATTTGACATGCGCAATTCTCATTACCATAATTCCTGAACCCTTTAAGATATCAGGAAAAATTCCAAAAGTGCTGAAAAGATTAAAAATAGGGCTTTTCGTGCATATGTAATATATTACGGTAGCCACCGGGATTCCCTGTCTTGAGCTCAACAAATCACAAGACAGATTCAGAGACGTGCTGAGTTTGTCATCCAAAATGCTCCGTTATATAACTTTTGAATGGCTGATCAGATTCAAAAAATTCCAACAGTTCCTAAAAGTACATAAAAGCAGCTTTCCAACGATCTATAGCATAAAGCAATCAGAGTAATAAAATATCGCTACGAGGGGAAATCCTGCTTGCGGATAACGGAAGGGGGAAGCTAATTAGCATAAAAAGCCGGCATGAAATTATGGAAATGCCTCAAAGAAAATCAACACGATCTAGTAGGTGTCCCAGAAGGCTTATATCTGAAGACAGTGACCATGAAGGACAGATCTCCAGTGAACCAGGGTATGGATGTTTGTTCAGTCTTTTTATTTATTTATTTATTTTATTTGAACAACCCGCAACATAAAAGAAATAAAACGTCTGAAAGTTTACAAAAATAAATGGTCTTAAAAACTGCCAAAAAAGATACCAAGCTTCTAACTTTAAGAATAGATGTTTTACAGTTCAAAGTTTAAATTGTTCATTCCAAAGTTTTTTTGCCAAAGTCATTTTGAAGTTCCTGTTCAGTAATAAATGTAAAACATTCAAATCCGTTTTTTTGCTTTTTCACTTTTAAGCTGATTTTTTAAAGGCTTTAATAGAAATAAATTCTAAATACAAACCATACACTGAAAGCTGAGGTTGTTCTGAAAAAAGGAGAAGAGTTACACACACTTTGCATTTTTTATTACAATGTTACAGCCATAAGATTAAAAAACATACCAGGCGGCCCTGCTTATAATTATGGTCATAAGAGGGTTAATGGCCTCCGTTAGCATCTCCATGCTTGCTTCTAATTTTTGAGTGACATCTTCCAGAACCAGCAGGCGATGGGGGGTGCCCATGCGTGCCCCTATTCTCACATTTGCAGCTTAAACCAGTTGAGCCGTTTGTTGAATGACGCATTAAATACTCAATAAAATAAAAAAAAACGACAATCTCACAAAGAACCTTTTGGGACTGCTCCTGCAAACCGATTAGAAATGATTGTCAATCAGTGTTGGACCTAGCCTGGCAAGCTATCCTATTTATGTGAAATTATGCATTCGACGTGCAAAGCCAATTCATTTTGCTTAGGCAACTGTCTGTCTAGATTTCTAGACTGTTGAACTGATAAAAATTGATTGCATATCGCCCGGCCTTAGAAGATTATGGGATCTTTGTGTTCATTCTCTCCCTCTGCAGAGCTTGCAGGCCTTGATGAATGAATGTATCGGACACGTGATCGGTAAACCTCACAGCCCAGTTACTGGCCTCTACATCGGTAAGATGCTTCAGGACTGTTTTTTGTTTTACATTCCCCTGTACCAGACTAGTCGCTGCACAAAGACCTTTTTATCTCTGGACAAATTAACACGAGCGATTAATTGAATTTTATTTAAAGATGTGTTTTCTCTGATGGAGTTTCAGTATTGTCCCTTTTGAATTGCCAGCTCCCAGGAATAGTCCTCGTCCCGTGAAGGTCCCTGCTCCTGTCCGCTGTCACAGCGACCCACCAAATCCTAATTTATTTATCCCAAATGCTGAAGGCTTCAGGTGGGTTGCCACAGCTCAAGTGTTTCTGAGAGCTTGTGTGCCTTTAATGTTTTAAATGGAACATTTCTGTGCTGCATGGCTTTGCTTTCTTGGTTTTTTCATTCCCTAACGACTTTACTTTTAATGCCAGTAAGCTTCCATGTGCATTTGCTTCTTTTTTAATTCTTTAAAAATGTTTATGCTGTTGAGAACAAGTGCGTCTATCTCACAGCCAGTCAAACATACACACACTTACAGCTCTGCACACGTCCCACCTCTAAAGGAAGCGCTCCTCGGTTTGTCTTTTCACCTCACAGCTCTCGAAGTCTTCCCTGCGACCTCCGGAACCAGCAGTTCCCCAACGGGCCTCGCCCCGCCCCTCAGGGCCCGGGGGAGCACAGCCACATGAAAGCAGCCAGCAGCAGCCCCAATGACATCAGGTAGCTTTGCCCTTAGCAGAAACGCTCAGAGAGACCGCTTCAGTGATGGATCACAGCCGTTGTAAAGCTCCCAGGCACGGGGACAGGGAAAGCTCATGTTTGGGTTTTTATTCAACTAGAGAACCTGGCCTTCTGCCAAACAGATTACTTCCAACATGCCAACATGTTGTTTAAATGTTAAATTTAAGTAGACAAAATAAAACATTCCAGTTTAATATTGTGACAGTTATGGATTGTAATTCTAAAAAAAATCCCAATTCTTCACAAGTGTGTCATCTTTGGAATATAACTTCAAAAAAAATATATTTTTTGCATGCTATTTTGAGACATTTTCCCAAAGATAAAAAGTCACTGATGCGGCCTCCATCTCATGGCGTTTTGACTCAAATTATCCTTAATTATCCTTCACAATGCTTTTAAAATACAATTTGCATGGAATTCAGCCTCTGAAATGTTTCAAGCTCCAAAAGCTTTCAAGCTGTGAGCAAAACACAGACAAGATGAAACCTTACACACGTCCTAATAGCTGGTCCTGGGAAGAGACTGTGACTGCATGAATGAACTGAAACCTCAGAGTGGTCTATAATGGTCTGCTTTTAGTTCTGTTTGCATCCATCTTGCTTTGATGCTGTGCTTTGCTGCTTTTAGACTCTGGTGTTCTAGCGCGTGGTGTTGAGATGAGAATCCTCACACTAGCAGTCTAACCTGGCAGGAATGACAGTGACGCATGATGAACTATTGATTAACTTCCAAAGGCAAATTCTAAATAAAATCTCTGTTTTGCTTCTATTCTTTAATTTTTTTTGTCGCAGCCTTCTGATGAAAGTATGAGTTAAAGCAGAAGGGTAGAATTTGTGTATCTATGAAGGCAAAAAAGCTATTTTAAGCAATCAGTTGGAAACAAATATGATGTTTTGTTGACTTTCTTGTTTTGTTAGGGGATCAAATTTCCACGAGAATGATCGTCTGTCTTCAGTTGCGGCAGAATTGCATTTTAAATCCCTGAGCCGCCACTCCAGCCCCACTGAGGAAAGAGAAGGTGGGAGTGTGTAGTGATCAGCATGGCTGTTAGTGCTACTGTGTGTGTGTGTGTGTGTGTGTAAACTGGTTTAAATTTTGCTACAGAGCCATCGTATCCAAAGGGAGATCCCAACGGTGCTGCACGCAGAAGCTGGGAGCTCCGTACCTTCATCAGCCAGTCCAAAGGTAATCATAACAAATGTCTGATGGGTTTATCCATCCATCTATAATCTTCCTACAATTTTCTTCCATTTATCCAGGGTTGGGTTGCGGGAAAAGCAGCTTAAACACTAAACACGCTTAGACTTCCCTCTCCCCAGCCACTTGGGCCAGTTCCTCCGAAGGCGTTCCCAGGAGGGCCGAGAAATGATAAATGACCCGCACTTGTAGAGCGTCATTCAGAATCGGAGGACTCTAAAAGAGCTTTAGTACTGCAGGTGTTCCCAACCTTGGTCCTCAAGGTCACCCATCCAGCAGGTTTTAGTGTTTTTCCTGTTTGAACACATCTGAATTGAATCAGTGCTGATTAACAGTCTTGATGAGCCACTAAACGGGTAATTTAGCTATTGAATCAGGTGTGTTGGACCAGGGAACCAACTAAAACATGCTGGATTGGAGCTCTCCGGGACCAGAGGCATCTAGGAGGCATCTTGGCTAGATGCCCGAGCCATCTTAACTGGCTGCTGCTACTTTGAGCCCCTCCCGGATGACCGAGCTTCTCATCCTATCTCTAAGGAAGAACCCCGACACTCAGCAGAGAAAACTTAATTTTAGCCGCTTGTATCTGCAATCTCATTCTTTCGGTCACTGCCCAAAGCTGGTGATTATAGATGAGGGTTAGAACGTAGATCGACCGGTAAATGGAGAGCTCTGACGTTCCGGCTCAGTCTCTCTTAACCACGACAGGCCGGTACAACGCCTGCATCACTGCGGACGTAGCACCAATCCACCTATCGATCTCCCGCTCCGTCTTTCCCTCACTGGTTAACAAGACCTAGAGACACATAAACTCCTCCACTTGGGACAGGAATTCTACCTTTTCCTGTCTCAGGACAATAGTGTCAGATTTGTGGGTGCAGATTTTTGTATGATGGGTAATACAATCTAAAAAGCTTTGACTGACTTCCGCTTCCTGTTCCTCTTGACAGACATGGCTGCACGACAAAGCCCGATGGAGACCGTCCGCCGCTCTATACGCAAGTTTGAAGACAAACGATATGCCGTGATGAAACAGCGCAACATCATCGGCCAAGTTTGTCACACACCCAAGTCGTACGACAATGTCATGCACGTTGGTCTCAGGAAGGTGACCTTCAAGTGGCAGAGGGGCAACAAGATCGGTACGAACGTTTCTGTCTTGGTTCGCCTCCTTTAACACCAGCAGATGGTGATGTTGTGTTTTGTGTTGGGTTAGGCGAGGGCCAGTACGGGAAGGTGTACACCTGCATCAACGTTGACACGGGAGAGCTGATGGCGATGAAGGAGGTATGCAGCACCAAGTATTCAGTTCAGTTTATTTAAATTAAAAAGTTTGTGAGATAAAACTTAATTGTTTTCAAATAGATCCGATTCCAGCCGAACGATCACAAAACCATCAAGGAGACTGCAGATGAGCTGAAAATATTCGAAGGCATCAAACACCCAAACCTGGTGCGTTACTTCGGAGTAGAGCTCCATCGGGTAAGACGCTCGCATACAACCATGGAACCATGGAACCATGTCACGTGTGCCGGAGACTAAAGCCGACGATGTGAACGTGCTCACCTGTAGGAGGAGATGTACATCTTCATGGAGTACTGCGACGAGGGGACCCTGGAGGAGGTGTCCAGACTGGGGCTCCAGGAACACGTTATCAGGCTCTACAGTAAACAGATCACTATAGCCATCAACGTTCTGCACGAACACGGCATCGTTCATCGGGATATCAAAGGTCTGTGCTGGATGAGGATGAATCCACTCGTTCAGACACCATGTGATCGTAAAAGCTGTGTGACTGACCCAGAATCTAACTTATTTTACGCATTCATGGATTTAAAAGTGTTACCGTGGTAGCGGGGAGCTACGGTATCAGGGCAGCCCCATCTAGTGGACAACTTTTGTTTCTGCACATACCTGTAGCTATCTTCCATTTACCGTTCTCGAGGTGAAATCCGCAATATATCGTTATTTATGATTTTAGGCCTTATCGCCCGGCCCTACTTTAGCGTAAGTTATTTATGGGTGTGGCCATCTTTTAAAGAACAATTGTTGCTCTCTGCTCTCTTTTGCTCACTTTCTGTCCCTCAATCAGCATCACTCGTGTGTGAGGGAGGGACTGACAGGCTGATCCGCTGGGTTTCTGAAACGGCAGAAAAGACTTTACCGTAATAGGACTAGGCAGACTTGAAAGCACAACTTCTCGTCTTTCAGACATTTGATTTTTCCTGATGGCACAAACTGTTTTGCAGCTACCCTCTTTTTGTTTCTGCTCTTTCTACGCAATGTTGTCTTTCCCTGGATCCACTGATCGCCTTTCTTTTTCATTTTCTCTTTCCCTTTTACTCTTTTTTTTTTTGTCCTTTTTTTATTATTATGAAGCGCCTTGTGATTTTTGTTATCTTGAGAGGCGCCATATAAAAGACTGTTTTCTTTCTTCACAGCAAATGTGTGTGTGCAGATAAAATGTGTCGGTGTTAGAGCGGTGCTTTTGTGTGGAAAAAAAAACATCCAATTCTAGTCTTAATCCTTGCATTAGAGTAATAGCTTTTAGTGTTTTGATAGTATGATGTCATTTCCTGTCATGTTTGTAAATGTAGTTTTATGAATAATGCGTTAAAGCTTGATTTGAAGAAACTCGTGAATCAAACTGAAAACCAAATTTCTGCCTGAAAAATCATAATTCTGTCTTTTCCCAACATCGGACCTCTTCAGCGATTGTCCTCATAAAACTGTCACTGAGTCTTGTTTATTTGCAACAGGAGCAAATATCTTCCTGACATCATCTGGTCTGATCAAACTGGGTGACTTCGGCTGCTCGGTCAAGTTGAGGAACAACACTCACACCATGCCGGGGGAGGTGAACAGCACGCTGGGAACAGCAGGTAGTTGGAGCCAGGTGCTCCACCTGGTGGTTCAGTCGTTATGTGCTTTTGTTGTCATGGTGCTAGTCCTTTCAAGTAGTTTTCAGCCTTGCTGTGTGTTTTTTTAGATAACCTTTTAAAGTGGGTTTGTACAAAAGTCAGTTGTTCTCCAGTCTTTGGGGATTTTTTTGTACATATTTTCTCTCCTTTTCATTCCAATCATTTATTATTTTGAAACGTTTTATCAAAAGCCATCATCATCAATATGAGAGTAAATAAATCCACCTAACTCAAGTGATGAACCACTTTTGTTTGTATATAAGAGAAAACTCCAAATAGAACCAGTTAAAAGGGTCTCTGTAGGTGTTTTGTACAGGCATTAGTTCCTATTTGTTTCAATGAACTCAGTTTATTTTAGGGATGGACAATATATCGGCGTCGATATGATGGTAGTCATTTTTTAGCATATCAGTATCGGTCCGATAAATAAAACCGGGCCAATATTAACAACCAATATTTTTTTCCATCTCGTCTCCATATGTTTATCTGTTTCAGAGGGTGAGGGGTGGTGATGTGTATTTGTTTAGTCATGTGACAGTGATTGTAATCATCTCAGAAGCATAAATGTGTGTGTTGTGTGTACATAATACGGTAAATTCAGCTTTAATAATTTTCTATACAAAATCTGCTGATTTGAGTAGCATTAATGTCAGTGTATCTGTATCGGCAATAATTATCAGCCTTAACAGTGATCTTAATATCTGTATCGGCCCAAAATTTCATATCGGTGCATCACAATTTTATTTATATAGCGCCAAATCACGACAAGAGTCGTCTCAAGGCACTTCACATAGTAAACATTCCAATCCAGGACAGTTCATTAAGCCAATCAGAAAAAAGTTTCCTGTATAAGGAACCCAGCAGATTGCATCAAGTCACTGACTAGTGTCAGTGACTTGATGCAATCCTCATACTGAGCAAGCATTTACCGACAGTGGAGAGGAAAACTCCCTTTTAACAGGAAGAAACCTCCAGAGGATCCTGGCTCAGTATAAGCAGCCATCCTCCACGATTCACTGGGGATCGAGAAGACAGAGCAGACACACGCACACACACAATTTCCATAGCTGCATCAACAAAAGATGATGAAAAATAATTATGTATCTTTTTATAAACAAGATATCGGCCAAAACATTCATAAATCTGCATGTTTTGCCATATTTCATGTAATATATGGGACTAAAGAAAACCCTAGATCTTAGAAGAAACCATCAGCAAAGACCCGACATCAAACCTGAGACTATTTACTAATCTTCATGCCAGCCATTCAGCAAACAGATCTCAGGGGGGGGGGGGGGGGGGGGGGGGACACATTTAACCTAAAAATAATGTTTTTTCTTTTTGTTGTTTTTTTCCTCTCAGTGACTGATTAAAAATAATCTAATTGCATGAGCCTTGATCGGATACAGAGATTTCTGGTTCCTGTTATGTTTATTTTCAGTCTAATCTTATATTGAACAGACATTCTGACTCTGAGCAAGATAAACTCTGATGATTTCAGATCCACATGAAGTCATCGTGACCTCTTTTGGCTCTGCTTATTTAAATTTCACCTACCAGAGATTAGGAGAGCTCCTGGTTATCATTCTGACCTAGTTACATTTCAGTGTTGTTTAGAATTGTTCAGGCACAGATTCTCCCTGCGTGTGTTGATAAGGCTTATTTGTCTTTAAATTTGTCAGCATACATGGCACCTGAAGTCATCACAAGAGCGAAGGGGGAAGGTCACGGACGAGCAGCAGACATCTGGAGTTTAGGCTGCGTCCTTATTGAGATGGTGACTGGAAAGGTGAGAAGTGATCAGAGATATTTCCTGATAGCAGATAAAGATGATTTGTCTTAAAGGTGCAATAGATGTTTTTCTTGCCGTTAAAGCAAGCTACTTTTTGAATACAAGTCAAAGGTCCAATCCCCTTTTCCCCTCAAGCCACGCCTTCAGAATACAGGAACACGCAATGCTTGTTCCTGAGGGTTTCGTTTTACATCTTCGACCCGTTGTTGGCACCTATACTCCTATAATTCTTAACATGATGCACCTTCATAACCGTATAACACGTTAATGTGCTAGCTAACAGCATGTGTTGTTTTTATGATGAGAAACTAAGCAGTTTTAGCTTTCTGAGTTTATTCAAAATCAAAGCAGCTCAGCGCCAGCAGCAATCTGGGGTCAACACTTCCAGAACCCACCCTGAACCTCCTACCACTAGTTCTCTCATTTTGAAAGGCCACACACACACACACACACACACACACACACACACACACACACACACACACACACACACACACACACACACACACACACACACACACACACACACACACACACACACACACACACACACACACACACACACACACACACACACACACACACACACACACACACACACACACACACACACACACACACACTATTAAGGCATCAAACTGTTTACTAACAGCTCTGCCAGCCGACAGAGGACAGGCTGCGTTCACTTACAACAGGTCCGTCACATAAGTGTTTTCCAACAAGAACAGAACTGGACTCTAAACTCCTCATAGCCTTTTTTAGAAGACACACCTGTTTGCAAACCAGCATAATACTGCCGCCACGGTGTGTTTTATGAATGTTGCATGGTGATGCGGGAATTTTGATGGCATTTGTGCCAACACGCTGCATGTTTAGGCCTTGGCACAACAGGGGGGGGTGTCATGATCACGTGGGGAGTTGATGCCAAACTCCGGCCGTCAACTACATTGAAAATTAAAGTAAACACGTGCTTTAAGTTTCTTTTTCTAAACAGAACCAGCTGAGATGATAAACTGGAGCAAAGCAGAGCTCCAGGAGCTTCCTTCTGTTAAGGCTGGAGATCAGATTACCAGAGATGCACAGGGACTGTGGAGGACAGACACCTTTAGGAGCGGCTTGTTAAAAATGATGAGCGTGGCTTCAATCGCAATAAAAAGCAAGTTATGTTCATGCTGAATAGAAGTCTGCAGTAGCACAGAGATTGCCCCATACCCCTTCATACCAACATCGCATATTCTTTCATGAAAAGGAAACAATTGTTCCACATTGCCGCCACGGTTTGACCACTTATGAGCGACCTAAGGCTCCCAGATGCCGGCTCAGCTTTTCAGCAAACTGGCGACGATGTTTTCTAAAAGAGGCTCATGTGAAACAACTCCTTAAATTAAATCTGCAAACTGAATGGAACATTGCACCAGTTACGCTAGCTAGACCGGCTCTCACTTCACTTCCTGTTCAGCTGCTCCAAGACGAGAAAAGGTGATTCGAGCACAACGAGGAGTACACGCAGAGGGGTGGTCAGAGGGCAGTTTGATTGATGGATCATGGTCAAATCATTAAGAACGGGACGTTCACAATGACTGGATGAGGTTTTCCAGGGTTTGTACTTCTCAGAGGCGATTAAAATTTCTATTTTCTAATAAAATCTTGAATTAATTGATTACCATCAGTCTGTGAAGAACATTAGAAGCAATATGGCAAACATGCTCCCAACAATCATCTCTTACTATATCTGAAATCACAAATCAAGAAATGGAGGGGTCAGTCAGAACTTCAGTTATCACCTTTTTCTGATACAGACCAGATCAAAAGAGTGTAAATTAAACTTCCACTTGATGAATACAAGTTTCTTTTCAAACCTGTTCTTTAAAACTTCCAGTAAAGTTTGCTCACGCCTTATAATGCTTAAATCCCCCCTTTCACTGCCCCAACATGTTCACTTCCTCCATTCTTCTCCCTAAAGGAAGCTGAAATAAAAAAAAAAAACCTACAAGGAAATACCTCACTGATTTCTTCTTATCTCAATCTGCAGAGGCCCTGGCACGAGTACGAGCACAACTTTCAGATCATGTACAAAGTGGGCATGGGCCACAAACCCCCCATCCCCGAGAAGCTCAGCACAGAGGGGAAGGACTTCCTTGGCCACTGCCTCGAGAGCGAACCCAAACGGCGCTGGACGGCCAGCATGCTCCTCGATCACACGTTTGTCAAGGTGAGAAGACTTACCATGCTGATGACAACCTTTCTTTCACAATTCACTCATCTGATCTCCTTGTTCGTTTTAGGTTTGCACAGATGAAGAGTGAACGACGGCTCCTCTTTGGCTTTTTCGTTTACAAACCGAAGCACTACTGTACACGCTGTTGGCAAAAGGACAAATAAACTGCAGACAGGAAGAAGGATGGAGATCTGGCTGAAGGCACATGGATTTAAGCTGAGGAACTATTACAAAATCATTTCAGAAGACCTCTAGATCTATGAACCATAAAATTTGATGTGTCTTTATGTATTCATGGTTAGGGGTGGGACTGTACATACTGTAAAAATAGGATTGGCCTTAATTCTTGTATAAAAAAATATTGTAAAGTTAAAGCAGTTATTGCCACATTTGTTTGTTCTCACTGGCGAAGACTTCTGAAAAGGCGTTGTTTGTATTTTCAGAATGAGACGGGGGAGGGAGAGTATCTTTAGCACTTTTAAACCGTTTACCCAGGAGAGTTAAAGAGAAGAGGGAATCTGGACTCGGTCGACGTTTGAGGCCGAGACGGGTGTGGTTAGCCTCAGTGAATGGAAGAAAACAAAGTTCACAAATACCCTCCAATTATTTAAATATTTTTGATCACTTGTCGCTCAGCAAGTTTTCGGACAAATGATTTATTTTTTATTATTTTTTTGCAATCGCTGAGGAGAAAATATCAGTTTGGAGCAATTTACAAGTCTGCTGGTTACTGGTGAAGAGAGAGAAAGAGAATCAGGGCCTGCTCCCCCTCCCTGCTTCTGAACACTTCTACCCACACACACACACACCAACTATCTGGCCCTCTGCTGCTCCTACAGTGTTTGCTTTGTATAAATGATATTAATAAACAATTTTTTTTAATAATCTGCCTATTTTGTGAAAACCTGCATTTAAAAAGTTTTGTTTTCTAAACCATTAAAATTTTCAGATTGGTCAGGTTGAGGGTGAGACAACCATACAGTCTTCTTTTTTTCTTAAAGGGCACCTAGGTAATTTTGGCTTGCTTTTAGCACCCCCTAGTGTCCGCTTATAGAACCAAAAACAAAACCTATCTCCTTCCTGTGCGTTCGTCTTTTTAACACCTTAATCTAACAGCTGAAACATCTCCCCAGCCTTCATTAATGTCTACAAGAGTGATTCGTCACTAAAATTAAATCAGCTGTGTTCCTGATCTAAAGCGTGCTAGAACCAGACTGCAGCACCAGGCATGTCAGCTTCATTTTTTCCCCCAACAGAGCTGCATGCCTGTCTGGAGTTGCAAATGGAATACTCTGGCCACAGGGGGCGATAAGGGCTGTGTGGCCTTTCATTAACGCTGTAAAAATTTCAAAGTGTCATTTTAAAGCAGCAATCTGGAATTTCCTCGTTTCTTGTTAGCCTGGCAAGCCATCCAATATATTTGGATATAAAATCTGGTCATGAGCCGTGGGGCAGAATCTACAATTGTCTTTGTCTCCTCGTGCTATTAGACGACGAACAACGTGGCGTGCTCACCGCGACGGATGTCAGTCAACGAGGCAGTCTGCCATACACTGTTGAAGATGCAAATACAAGTATCTCGATCTGCTCCTGGCTCAAAGGAAAGTAAGTAGTCTAAAGTTAATGCCAAAGCGGTTTCAAACAAGCCGCCACCATTTTTGTTTTGCTTTTTCAGTTTCACTAACTTCCCGCCCATAGTAATTACATTACATAATGGTGTTACATAGTAATATTGCTATAATTACAGCAATTTAACCTTATTTAAACATCCCCATGGTTTACTTCAGTAGGCCTGTTTCCAGAGTTCAAAGTATCTGAGATTTAGGGACCAAAATTTTCTTCATCTGCCAACTGAGGCCTGTAAATTCATGTGATTTGGTGGTATTTCCTCACTTTAAGACCTGCTAAGGATCAGAATATTTAGTTTATAAATGTTCCAACACAAATATTTCATTATGTGTAAACATTTAAATAACTTACTTTATCACATTAGCCGCAATGAGGAAATAAAATTTTGAGGTTTATAAACGTATTTGATCATGACAACGCTGCTGTAGACACAGATTTGTTTTATGCTAGCTTAAATATTCTAATTAGGTTTAAAAAGGACACGAGATAGTTCCAATCTAATAAGTTTTATTATTCGCATAAGTTCAGTAAAGGTTTCCCCTCCCACTGCCTGTTATCAGGTGCATGTTGACACACGGCAGTCCATTTGAGCTTACAGCCATTTGACTGACTCATCCTTAAAGCACACAAATGAGCGGTTTCTTCTCAGAGTATATTTAGAAATCAACCACCAGCATTACCTCTGCACCCCGCGTGGCATTTATAGAAACAGAAAACAGGACCTTACAGCAGCTCACCAGGAGGCACAGGGCCTGGGATTTTAGCCGCTGCTGCAGGGCTGTTGTGTCATAAAGGTTTTACAGCTGAACGGTTTTAAACACAACAGCTTTGTTTGTTTTCTAAGGTGCGGCGTCAGTTCAGCCCACTCAGGCACAAAGGTGAACTTCTAAAGTCGAAAATCCAGTGAAACCGAAGTGATATTTAATGTATAAAATGGTTTTTGTAGATTTAATCTTTAAAAGCAGCTGCAGTGGACTTCTCCGTGCTTCTAAACGTGGACTGAGGCTTGATGCAACTTTACCGACAGGTCAAGGGTTGATGATCCTGGCCGTCCTACTGAATGAGCCTCGGTATCAATAAAACTACATGGCACTACGTGAACATTTAAAGGTGTGTGTGTGTGTGTGTCACACACCAGAAATGGCCAAAAATCAGATCTTTTGTGGACTGGACTGAGATCCGGTGACTGTGGCGTCTGTGGAAAACAACATTCAAGAAACCAGTTCAGAGCTTTGTGACCTGGTCCATTATCCTGCTGGAAGTAGCCATCATTACGTGAACATAGGATGCGTGGTGGCACAGTTGTTAGCACTGTTGCCTCGCAGCAAGAAGGTTGCAGGTTGAAACTCAGCTATCTCTAGCATTTTAATTTCCCCTTTGTAGCTTCATATATTCATGCAGCAACAGTACTCGGTTCCCTTAAAGGTGTGGGATAACCGTTTAACCAATACATTTGCAGTGGTCTCTTATTCAGAATGAATGCCTTGTAAGTCATATTCTGGGGAAACAAAGCTCTGGTGCACCATTTTCAGGAACCAAAGTGAGCCACATCAGAGGACTTCAGGCCCAGTCTCAATGCTTGCACCTTCACCCTTTTCCACCCTTGTGCCCTTCCAACCAGTCCAGGTGTGCAAAGAGTGTCCCAATCCTCAAGTGCAGATGTTGACCACGCCCCTTTTGCACCCTTCATCCACACTTTGCCCAAGTCTGCATCTTCAGCAGAGGGTTTTACCCACAATCCATTGCTGCTTGGAAAATTTGAGAAAGCGAAACAATGGCTCAAGAGCCCTCTCTGAAAAATATGTATTTTCAGATAAAATTATCTAAATATTGAGTATTTTATTATTGTGTACATATATGATTACAATCAAATGTTTGTCTTTTGGAAAGAGGCATTACATGTCCGTGGGAATATATTGTTAACCGACGGTGAGTATTTTTGGACAAGACATGCCAGTAGGGTTGTTTTAACTTCATTCAGGACAATTTTACAGACTGATTTAAGTATAAAATGTTGAATTAAAAATGAGAATTTTTTACCTTCCTGATCAGAAAAAAAACATTTGGAATGTTTTTGGAAAATAAAATCTTCAATATTTTTTCATTTCCTCTTACACCTAGAATGAAAGAAGTTCATTATAAGACAACAAATTATATTTTTGATCATCCAAGGTTTTATTGTGGACAGCCACAAATACAAACATTGTCAAATAATTGCTAGTTTGAAAGTTGTGAATAAAGATTTTTATTTAAGTAGCACAAACGGCGACCGGCATCTCGGCCCGTGTCGGTCGATGACGCAATGCTTACTGTCCCAAGCGCACTTTGCTGAGGGTCATAGGGCAGAGCGTGAGTATTGGGTCTCAGATGACAAGATTTGGAGTCTTATTTCCTGTTATCTCGCCTCGGATTGGATAACAGCAACACGAATGTTTTTGTTTAAATCCTAGAGTTTCACGGTTTTATTTTCTATCAGAAGTTAATGCAGGAGTTAGGTGTAGGAGACTATTTTCATGTTCAGCCTGCATGAAAAACTTAAGAGACAGATTATAATCAGCTGGTTCATCAGTGTTCCACACCTTTACCCATCACACGTCGCCTGAGGAGATTACAAAGAAGCCTCGTTTTTAGCAAAATATCTGCTTTTTCTCTCCATTTATTGTGATTTGCTTCTACAAAGAGGGTTTTTACAGTGGTGTGAAAAACTATTTGCCCCCTTCCTGATTTCTTATTATTTTGCATGTTTGTCACACAAAATGTTTCTGATCAACAAGTAAACAAAATGCAGTTTTGAAATGATGATTTTTATTATTTTGGGAGAGAACAAAATCCAAACCTACATTGCCCTGTGTGAAAAAGTAATTGCCCCCTGAACCTAATAACTGGTTGGGCCTCCCTTAGCAGCAATAACTGCAATCAAGCGTTTGCGATAACTTGCTACGAGTCTTTTACAGCGCTCTGGAGGAATTTTACCCCACTCATCTTTGCAGAATTGTTGTAATTCAGCTTTATTTGAGGGTTTTCTAGCACGAACCGCCTTTTTAAGGTCATGCCATAGCATCTCAATAGGATTCAGGTCAGGACTTTGACTAGGCCACTCCAAAGTCTTCATTTTGTTGTTCTTCAGCCATTCAGAGGTGGATTTGCTGGTGTGTTCTGGGTCATTGTCCTGCTGCAGCACCCAAGATGGCTTCAGCTTTAGTTGACGAACAGATGGCCGGACATTCTCCTTCAGGATGTTTTGGTAGACCGTAGAATTCATGGTTCCATTTATCACAGCAAGCCTTCCAGTTCCTGAAGCAGCAAAACAACCCCAGACCATCACACTACCACCACCATATACTGTTGGTATGATGTTCTTTGTCTGAAATGCTACGCCAGATGTAACGGGACATTTGCCTTCCAAAAAGCTCAACTTTTGTCTCATCAGTCCACAAGGTATTTTCCCAAAAGTCTTGGCAATCATTGAGATGTTTCTTAGCAAAATTGAGACGAGCCCTAATGTTCTTTTTGCTTAACAGTGGTTTGTGTCTTGGAAATCTGCCATGCAGGCCATTCTTGCCCAGTCTCTTTCTTATGGTGGAGTCGTGAACACTGACCTTAATGGAGGCAAGTGAGGCCTGCAGTTCTTTAGAAGTTGTCCTGGGGTCTTTTGTGACCTCTCGGATGAGTTGTCTCTGCGCTCTTGGGGTAATTTTGGTCGGTCGCCCACTCCTGGGAAGGTTCACCACTGTTCCATGTTGTTGCCGTTTGTGGATAATGGCTCTCACTGTGGTTCGCTGGAGTCCCAAAGCTTTAGAAATGGCTTTATAACCTTTACCAGACTGACGGCTCTCAATTACTTTTGTTCTCATTTGTTCTTGAATTTCTTTGGATCTTGGCATGATGTCAAGCTTTTGAGGTGCTTTTGGTCTACTTCTCTGTGTCAGGCAGCTCATATTTAAGTGATTTCTTGATTGAAACAGGTGTGGCAGTAATCAGGCTTGGGGGTGGCTACAGAAATTGAACTCAGGTGTGAAACACCACAGTTGTTTTGAGGCTGCTGTTCCAGACCACACTCCGCACTAGTTGGTGGCAGTAATGCACCATTTGATGTTTGCCAACCGCCAATAAAACTCCAAAAGAAGAAGAACACCACAGTTGGGTTATTTTTTAACAAGGGGGGCAATTACTTTTTCCACACAGGGCAATGTAGGTTTGGATATTGTTCTCTTCCTAAATAATAAAAACAATTTCTAAACTGCATTTTGTGTTTACTTGTGTTATCTTTGTGTGACAAACATGCAAAAGAATAAGAAATCAGGAAGGGGGCAAATAGTTTTTCACACCACTGTATATTCACACCTTTGCACACTAAAACAACCGTGTCACAACTACTTCTGTTTTTACTGATCCACTGCAAGGTTCATGAGAAGATTGTGAAGCACGCTTACTTTTCTCCCCCACCCTTAGCAGAGGCATGAGAACAGCTTTTGTTTGTTGTTCAGTAAAGTCAAAATGCAAATGATCCTTCTGCATTAGCACAAAGATTCCCATTTGTGTGGTCGAATGCTCGTGTTTGCTGATGCTGAGGAGTGAAATGTCAACTTCAAGCCTTCAGGAGCTCTTGGAACAAACCTTGTTTTAGGACCAGTTAACTGGAATGCAGCCAAGACCCACGAGTGTTTTTAACTGTAATTTACACAAAAAAACGTCTAAAATCAGTTTTTAAGTGAAATATTTATTATTTTTCATCACAATCAAACAAATCTTTCACTTGCTTGATTTGAAAACATAACTTCCCCTCATTTCTGTTAAACATTCCCAATCAAACCACAAGACAACGCTACATGTGCGCTGCGTTGGGCTGATCACCACGCTCTCCGTTTCTCCACCATAGCACAAACGTGCCTCAAACCGGTCTGCATTGTGTTTAGAAGCAAGTCTGAACACGAACATTTACATATTCTTCCGGATTAGTGACTCTGCATCAAACGAGTAATTCAGAACTCCTTAGTTGTTTAGGGGGGCCTCCTTAATCCCGTAGTTTGAGCTCCTCTTAATTTCAGTCTGGCCAATCATCCACCGAAATCCCACAGAAACTACAAAAGAAAAATATCGTATTTAGAATACTGTTGCAGCAAATCTAACGAGTGTTGTACAGGACATGGTCATTTCCACAGTAAATTTTACTTTGAATTTGATGGAATTTCCCCTTAAAGAACCAAGTCATCAAATAAGAATTTAGAGTGTAAGCAACATCACTGCTGAGCGTTTGTGGCTAAACCTGTAAATGAAATGCTAAAGTTGTCATCCTCGTGCCAGTCGTTCTTATTTTGACAGCAAACATGGGGTTATGAATTTATTGTGGAAACTTTGCAACATGCTCGTCATGAGCTCATGCCGTAACAGAAATTATTTACACCCCGACTCAGACAGCTAGATGAACGTCTGACTGCTAAGTAAAAACATGCCTCAACAGCCGTTTCTAACAGAGAAATCACATCTTCCAAAAAGAAGGGAACTTACATCGAAGACGTCATGTCTGCTGCTTAATGAAACGTTTGGACAGAAAGGAGCCAGTTATATGGAGAGATGGATTAGTACGCCCGTACCAAGGCGTGACAACATACAGAACCAACCTGCAGAGCAGACGGCGACAGCAGCTGTGATGGTGAGCACTGATCCGGAGCTGATCAGCTGAGTGAGTAGAAGGCCTAGAGGGTAGAGAAGCAAGCAGGACCAGAAGAGCCAGTTGATCAGGGACCACGGTCGGCGCGGAGGGCTCTTGACAGGGCCGGGGAATCGCCCCGTCTGAGCGTACTGCTCCTGGAAACTATCCTGTTCACACAGAGGATTAAAAAAAAATCTCCTGAAAAATCGAGTCTGTTCCTACAGCCTTCCAAGGATCTGCGAGCATCACGTTGCCCATGGCAACGACTTTTATTAGGGCGTTTTATTAAGAATGCACTGATATGAAAATGTGGGCCGATTTGATATCCGCTATTAACAGAGGTGTGACCAAGTCACTGCTTTACAAGTCACAAGTCTTTCCAGTCTAGACTCAAGTCAAGTCCAACCAAGTCGAGTCCAAAGTCAATGATGTGGAAGTCCGAGTCAAGTCCAAGTCTTTAACTTTGAATTTTCAAGTCATATTCCAGTCATCTGTCCAACTTCAATTTAATGACGATGTAATGAATAAATAACCTAGCTCCACCGTACTTCTCAGACCTCCTTCATCCTCCAACCTCCACCCGTTCCCTCAGGTCCTCCTCCTCCATCCACCTCTCTGTCCCACCTTTCCGTCTGGTCACTATGGGGAGCAGAGCCTTCAGTCGCTCTGCTCCCCAGCTCTGGAACTCCCTCCCTCCTGACCTCCGTAACATTGATTCCCACACTCTCTTTAAAACCAGACTCAAAACCCACATGTTCCGTCTAGCATTCCAATAGTTAATCTCTTTGCTCCAATCTGTCTGTTTGTTTTATGCTGTTTTATCTTTTATTGTTGTGTATTTTATCTCTGTAAAGTGTCCTCGAGTGTTCAGAAAGGCGCTGTTGAAATAAAATAAATGTATTATTATAAATTCCAGAAATAAAGTTTCTTAAAGCTTCATTTATTTTCTTAAACAAGCAGAAAGATGAACTGAAACTGATTATAAACAAAGTGCTGCTGCATTTAGCAGAACAAGATCAAACCCAGAACCAAGAATGATTTATGATTTTTGTCCATGTCGTGCCACTTTTGTGTTAAAATATCAAATATGCTCAAGTCTCATGTCGCTTCCTGGGCACCACCATCACCCAGGACCTCAAATGGGAGCCCACCATCACCACCATCAGAAAAAAGGCCCAGCAGAGGTTGTACTTCCTGAAGAAATTCAACCTATCAGCACAGTCGATGAGGCAGTTCTACACCGCTATCATCGAGTCCATCCTCACTTCCTCCATCACTGTGTGGTACGCTGGAGCTACCACCAGGGACAAGAGGCTGCAGCGTGTTGTGCGCTCTGCAGAGAATGTCATTGGCTGCAAACTCCCCTCCATTCAAGATCTGTACACCTCTAGTACATTGAGGCGTGCAGGTCGGATAATAGCTGACTCGTGTCACCCTGGACACAGTCTCTTCGACTCGCTCCCATCTGGCAGAAGGCTCAGATCCATTCAGATCAGAACCTCTCGCCACAAAAACTGTTTCTTCCCCTCTGCAGTTGGACTTTTGAACGAAGATCCTAGGGCAGCCCACTCAAGTTGATTGGTCCCAGTCACATGAACTGATGCTGTGCTTGAAAAACACTCAGATTAGTACCTACACGGGGTAGATAGCTGCTTCTCTAATTCTTGCCACTTTTTACATGAATAATTTTATCATGGGTGTTTTATTACTTCCTATAAAATTAACTTCTGCACCAAATACCGCAGCAATTTCCTAATGTGACTTGGGACACATATGGCAATAAAACCTTCCGATTCTGATTTTGATTCTGAAGTCATCATCAAGTCAACAGATACAAGTCAATTCAAGTCGCAAGTGATTGGCGTTCAAGTCCAAGTCAAGTCATCTTTATAGATTTTTATCAAGTCATGTCAGAAGTCATTAAAAATAATGACTCAAGTCTGACTTGAGTCCAAATCATGTGACTCGAGTCCACACCTCTGGCTATTAAGATTGCCATCATGGCCGATAACCAATTTTATTCATGGCCGATAACCAATTTTATTCATGAGATGATTACCATCGCTGCCACATGGTGCATCTCAAAACAGATACATGAACGGAAAATAGTTGGAAACACATTTTTGGCAATAACATTGCTCCAGTTTTACTTATCGTACCAATACCGATACCATAACTCATACCCCATACCCTGTAACAGGGTTAGGCAATCCTCAAATGCTTCTGTCCAGCATGTTTTAGTAGTTTCCCTGCTCCAACACACCCACTTTTAATCAGTCAGTGATTAACAGGCTTCTGCAGAGCTTGATAACCCGGTCAACAGATGATTCAATCACTGAGTTAGGTGTGTTGGAGCAGAGGAACAACTAAAACCTGCTTGATACACCTCCCCACCCCTGATCCCAAACCGTTCCACACCATACCCTGCACCAAAGATTTCCGACCTTTCTCTTAGTGGTCCCCCTTCTTGTATTCAAGACTAGGTAGAGCAACACCCAACCTTGACTCCTGACTGCATAAACACGTTAAAGATGATTAATTACAAACTTTACAGACATACAGAGGTATAACTCTTACACAGAGTTCGGATTATACTATTGGGTGTGTTGTTGGGATTTCTTGGTAACCTTACAACCTCAGGGTAGACAAAATGTTGGGGACCCCCTGCAACCTTCTGGGACACTCTTGGGAGGGTCGCAGACTCCAGGCTGGAAACTACTGCCCTATACCATAAATCACACCATCATTTAAACTGCATTTTTAGAAACAAAGAAATGCCATTCAATGTGCTTTACAAACACAAAAACATGACTAACATTTGTCGATGCTGACATATCGTGCATCCATAGTATTTACAGAGCTCAGAAAATTAGCATTAGTTGACTTTACTCTGACGTCACCATGGTAAATATTCAAAACTAAAGTCAATGATTAAGCAAATCCTGATAAAGGACCTATCAGAGGTTTGGCTCCAACTGGTTCTTTACTGATGCACGAAAACAGTGATTAAGATTATAAACCGTCTTTATGATTACTTTACTTAGCGACATCATCACTGACATGTCAAACGTGCGTCCTTTCAGGAGTTACCTCGGACTTTTGAAATAATCAAGAACCTGTTGTTTTTATTTTTATCTCTGTGTTGCCACTTATGTCTCTACCCCCTCCTCCTCCCCCCAAAAAACCCAATAAAGTGCGATTGATGCTAATGGAAAAGTGGGACACCTGCAGAGGCACAAATAGGACACGCCATCGTCTACATCTACATCAGAAACAAAGGTGACTCATTCCAGAATAGATTCAGTGCTTATTAAAAGCTGTTAATCCCTTTAGGCATTAAACATTAAGCTTTAATGGAAAAAGAGAAATGGTGATGCTTTATAAGCTACATTTGACTGCTACAAATGTAATGAGAACAGCTCCTGATGACGCTGTCGTGTTCTGGGTGGTTTACCGCCCCTAATAATCCCCCGAGGGAAACTTTGCATCAGTCACAGATTTCATTAACCATCCAGACTCACCTTTTCCTGGTAAAGCTTGTGGAGCCATGCGGAACACTCCGCCTCGTCTTCAGGAATCGACTCTAGGGGAATTCTCCTAAGAGACACAAGAAGGGCTAAAATGACACAAAGTAGGTATTGAAAGCCAGTGATGGAATGCAACAAATACTTTTATGGACCGTAAATCCTCTAATACAGGCCCGGGCCTGTATTTGACTCAAGCTCATCAAGCTCCAGGTCTTTATTGGAAGGAGGGCCAGGATTAGAGGCAGGCCTCAATTTCTATTTGAGTTTGGTTGGTTCGCTGGAGTTTTTGACAATTAAAATTGTGCCCACATTTTCAAAGTTAAACACATTTCTTTTAACAACGGTAGTTTCTGCTTCAGCCCTCTCCCCCCTCCCCCTGCGCAGCGGCCGCAAACTCACTGATGCACCTGCAGCCTCTCGGAGATCCTGCTGATCTAAACATTAAAATAATTATTTCATTTTCTGTTCCTCACTTCTGATTACCTTCAATGGTGTCTGTTTGTTGCAACCACCAGGTACAAAAACTAACTTGTTTTTATTTGACTATTTTTCTGTCCTGTATCTGTTTATTATCTTCCTGCATCTCCTCTCAATCCTAAAGAAAAACTGCTACCTGGGTTCATATATATTCACCTTATGAGTTACTTTTGAACTGCAGTTCTAAAAGATCTACCAACCGCAAAAACAGTGGAGTGCTCGCTGCTCGCCGGCCGCACCGGTGAGGTGTGTCACCGGAGGACAAGGTGATGCGCCCCGCTCCACAGCAGTGAAACGCATCAGGCGCAAATAAAAGACAGAAAACATTAAAGGAAATGAGCCGACATGAACGATCGCATGTTGAATTAGATTTTGAGGTGGCGACACCTGATTTGATGTTACTGTGGCCGTGCTCAGGACGCAGATGTCTGGAACGCGTCAACAATCAGAGCTTTGCATGCGCAAGCTGGTTAAGGTTAGGATGGGGGTGAGGGGAAGGTTAAATTGCAAGAGGGTAAACGTCACAATTTGGTTAAATGTCCATTTTACGGCGGGTGTCAGTACAGACGCTCTGGTACAGCGCGTTGCCCCTCCCGACGCGCAGGAGCTCGTCACCTGCCAACAGCAGGTTGCTGTCTTTTCCGAGGACTGCATCTTGCCGGTCATTATCACGTGACAGCGACTAGTCGATGACAGGCATAAAAAGTCACTATAGTGAAGTCGACTAGTGACTAGTTCATACAACCCCTGCTACTGCTCCCCAGAGTGTTCTGCAGCATAATCAGAACGTTCTCTTTGAACTTGATATCAAATTTTCGCCTCCTCTTCGTCTCCGCACGGTTAAAGTTACCCTCGCGGTCTATCGCTGGCAAATCAAAAGTGAGACTGATGACACAACCGCCCCCCCGTACTTGCTTGTTACCACATTCCACCCGGCCACAATTAAAAAAACGGCCATTATTCACCTCCGCCGACTCCGACACCGGCCAAAATATGATACCCGGCCGTTAATTGAATACAGGCCTGTATTAGAGGATTTACGGTATCTGTACTTTACTAAAGTAATTATCTTGAGGCCTACTTTTTACTTTCACCCCACTACATATTAAAGCAGTTATTTGTACTTTCTACTCCACTACATCTTCCAAAAATTTTAAAAAGTAAAAGTACTTTACTTTGCATTTAATCCGACTCACAGTCCAATGGAGACTGGCAACACACCCCCTTGTCTGTGCTGGACTGCAGGTCCATATATAATAGTACTCTATTTGCACTGATCTTACCTCACATACAAATCTGCATGATATTTTTTTCCGTTGAGAACTCCGAGCAGAGTCGGAACTTCGTTGTCCCTGAAGTTTAGTGTTGAATCATAAACAGCTGCAGCTGCAAAGCAAAACACAACAGTCAGCTGGATGAGCTAATGCTACGCTATAATGTCTAAAATCTGTTCAGTTACTGACCAGTGCCTCTCAGGTTTTGGACAGTTACCCAGAATCCTTTGGTTCTGGGAAGAAGATGGTACTTTAGCTTTGGCAGACCTTTGCTCTGGGCCACTTGCATGCTGATCTGGTGCTTCTTTGGTGTGAAGCGCGTTCCTTCACAAAAAAGCAGGAACTTGTGGCAAAAATATCAGCATTTTAATTGTGACAGTTTTTTTTTAAATAGGCCTAATTTTAAATTGAAATGACAAGGACCACACTAAACTCACCCAAAAGTGTTCAGGGTAATCCTTTAGGTTCTGAAGACTCTGCGTCACAGTTGTTCGGTCTTCCTCCCACTTCCTTTTGCAAAAAACTATCTCCAGGAAGTACCACATCCAGCCGATCACTGGCACATAAGCCAGCTCTTTTTTGGCTAACACCTTTGAGCTCTGGAGGGAGGAAAAAAGTAATGAAACGTTCACCTGATTGAGGTAAATAAAGTGTTGTGATTCTCAGTTTTCTCACCCCAAGAACTCCAAATCTGTCGCAGAAGGTCCAGCCACACAGAAAGTCAATTTCAAAGCTGTGGTTAAGAACCACAATTGCATTTTCCTTTCCATAAAGCGGATAGCTTTTTGGGTCTGTGTAGAGAGTGCATTCTGTCCCGGACCACCACTCCAGGGTTGCTACCAACTCTGTAGCCAGGTAAATAATCATTTGTTTACTCCTGACCTTAATTTACTACAACAATACCACCTTTTTTATTAGCTCTAAGCTACAAATGCAGCAAATTCCAACAGAAAAGAGATTACAATGTGATTTGTACGTACGACTAGCAATGCAGTAGCACAGTCTGATGTTGATCCTTCGAGCCAGCTGCTTACTGACCAGCCACAGAGGTAGAGTACAGAGCTGCAACAGGTTGACGATGAGGCCGCTCAACAGGAACACGTAGCAGATGAACAGGTGGGACAGGAACTGGGATTTCAGCAGCTGCAGGAACCCCATTCTGCCCATAAATGAGTTTAGAATTAAATCATTTATGTCACAACTTTTGATATTCAGCTTTTTCAGGGAAGATGGTCAGCTAATTTAGCAGAGGAGCGTCTCCCCAGCACCCGGAACGTAAGGGTTCCTTTGACCAGCCTGTCTTGATTCTTTCAATCAAAGGAACCTTTGAGCTCAGCTGTGTTACAACCAACCAATTACAGAGCAGCGATTAAAGCTCAGGAGATCACGTGATGGTGGTGTTCAGATGAAATCTGTGATGCGACTTTTTATCCCCAAAAGTAGTCAAATTCTTGGTTTAGCAGCTGTTTCACCCAAATGCGAGGCAGTCGTTTTTAATTGTGCAGTTTACCTCAAACCGGTTTTCTGAGCTCCACGAATGAATCTTGACCTCCGGAACACTAGAACAGAATTCTCAGGAGTCCATCGCGCCACACGAACAGTTCCACTTCCGACTTAAGCCATGATTCATTCAACAAGACCCGTGTCTACCGCCCTGCTAACTATTTGTGTGTGTGTGCGTGCGTGCGTGTGTGTGTGTGTTTGTGCGTGCGTGTGTGTGTGTGTGTGTGTGAGACTTCCCACACGAGGGGCCACACCCATCTGAAAACTCCGCCTGTACTGGTGTGTGTGTGTGTGTGTGACATCTTCTAGAAATCATGGACGCAACGACCAGCCTCGCTGCAAAGATCGTTTATGTACCAAAAAGGAGAGTGTCCTGTAGCGCGCGCCTATCGAAGCCTTCGTACACGTCCATAACGGCACATATATGTTTTAGCTTTATGCTATGACAATTTAATGGAAGTTTCTGCTAGTCACGATCGCCCTCTTTGTTTTGCTACAGGAAAAGCACGGGGATGCGTGAAAACAATAGATAGGCGCATGCGCAGAGGCATTTTCTTTCTTTCTTTGAATGAATGAAAACGAAAAGGAAAAAAAACAGGTTTGTGTGACAATAAGAAACACAAAAAGTCCTTCTTCCTTTAGACTCTAAAGGAAGTTTAGAGATAAAAATAAAGAAATAAAATAAAAAAACAACCTACACCAATAATTAAGTTATGTTTTAGTTTAATTCCACTCATAAGGTAATTTCATCTTGCTGACACTAGAGGGAAATAAAGAATCACCAAAAACATTTTCCACAGTCAAGTATACAATTAGTGACGCTTTTGTAAAGTTTGAACACCTGTACTTTTCTTTTGCCCTGAAAAAGAAAGTTATAAGCGTGTAGCGTCCTATTCACTACAATAAAACTGATTTTAGAAACAATAACATCACACATTAGTAATGTTAAACAGAGGTTTGATCTGAACAAAAATTCAAGAAGTTTACATACAACAAAAATCACATTATTTTAAAATGGACAATGAACGGTAAAATACAGTAGGTAATGTAGCTTACTGAGTTTTCTAGGTGTTATGTTGGATCATAAAATTTATTGGGGACCACGTCCAAATAAAGCCAAATACTAACTAATTTTTCAGTTAAATATTTAAAAAATCATTGATTTTGGGCTCACGCAGCCGGCACCTGGCTCTGGTAGCTGCAGTCTGAGGGTTAGGGAGACCACAGAAATGCTACAGCTCGGCGAGGTGCTTCACTTTCGAGTTGCTCAGCTGCATTTTCCGGGTGAAAAGCACCCACAAATGTTTGTTAGCTTTGGTTAGCTCAGTTAGCTTGTAGCTGCAAGCAAAATCGTCAAATTCTGCTCCCAGCTCCACCTCTGTCCATTTTTGTATTGTCTTGGAGTTTTAAGACTTTTGACGCAGCCAAGATGGCGGTGATCGAAACCGCCCACTAGGTTTCAAATCGAAGCCTCATAAACCTATGAGTGACATCACGAAGGGTTTGTCCATTATTTTAACAGTCATTGCGGTCTTCAGTGTTTCCCCTACAAATAGTTTTGCTTCTGCGCGTTGTCCATGAGATTGGAGGTGGGGGCACAGCTGAGCCTCAGTCTTGAAAAAACTCAGCTATCCATTTTCTGTCAGTGTTTAGTTTTAGGAATTATGTGCCTAAAAGAAGCCTTTTCAAAATCCCCACTTATGACATCCCAGATAAGAAAATTAAAATACAACCACCTCTCATGTGCAAGAGAGAGCTGCTGGAGAAGCAGTGGCTCGAGCTTCCCAGAGCTTCTCAGCTTATAGTAGTTTGAGGGGTGGATGGGTGGGTGTGGCCAGTTCCAGTTTGTTTTCTTAAAGTGACAGAGCCCTGAAATGGCTCATTCTGGATGGTATTGAAAATGTCAAAATAAATCTGCTGAAATCACTACATGTGAAAGAGATTTAGTAAAAAGGACTTCCTTAACATGTTTTTATAGGCAATAGAATTATTGTAACTTAAAAAGAAAAACTGGTCAAATTATGTTCAGAGGAAGAAATAAAGAGATCTTATCTGACAACATAGGGAAATAAAATTTAAGGTTGGAACTAAACCTCAGAAAATAATGACCACATACAACAATAAGGAGAAAGAGGTGGATTTGTGGAACAGTGTGAGACATTAAAACAATGTATGCATATAGAAAAATACAAAAAAAAGATAAAAATTAACTCATGCATACTTTTAAAGATGCAAAATAGATAGATCACACGTTGGTGAAAAAGTGGTGTGCCGTTGGGTGTTTATCTGTGTCAAAGAGGACCCCTGAGTGCATGTGTCTTAAGTTTATTCCACCTGGGAGCCTAGTTTCTGAGAAGTTTTTCTAAGCTCTCTTTTTACAAGTCCCACCGTGTTTTACTCCTCATGCCATTTACCACCAAATAATGTCAGAAGAGGTCCAAACATACCATGAAACAGCTCATGAACTTAGTTCCTTGTGTTCAAAAAACTCTAAATACAAAAAATGAGCATGAAAGGGCTCTTGAGTGGTGCAAGTTAACGTGTTTGTACGTACATGTTCAGCGGGTTTTACTATGATCTTCACAGAGGGAAATATTTAAAGAGACCTCCATTATCTTAACTTCTTTCTAGCAAAGCAGCCAAAATCAACATTTGTGTGCAGCCGAGGTCTGAATCACGGCGCTATTAAAGCACACTTAGAATATCTTTTTTTTGTAATCTTTCCACAGATTTTGTTACCAAGAGAGTTAGAACAGCTAGCATGACTCTTCTGACTTTTCATCAGGTTAAAGACACTCTATGAAAGATAAACATTATGTATCTAGTAAAATGTAATAGGACCAAAAAGATGCTGGTATCACGAAGAAAGACTAAACCCGTTGTGTCCCTCTTTTTTCCTGATAAATGATGTTTTTTGGTAGCTTATAATTCTAGACAGCCCGAAGAAGAAGCAGAATGACTTTTACTCTGCATGTCGGTTTAGCCACGCTCCATTGGAACCTGCAGCACCGGCCAGTCTGGGGGCTGACCAATCACAGCACTCGGGATGTTACTGCAACTGAGCAAAGCTAAGATGGGGTCAGCTCGTTTGAAAACATTTTGTCATCAACTTTGGACTATTTAGACTTGGGCTTTTCTTTGAGTTTAAAATTGATAATACACCAAAACAATCTTCTTTAGGATTGAAAAAAAAAAAAAAAAAAGGATTTAAAAAAGAATTTTAGTCTATTTGAAATACATTCATCAGACTAGATCAGACTTTTAGCCACCTCATTCGGATGTGCTTTTAATGGATGTGAAATATTTAGAAGCTTTTCTTTATTTGACTGGTTCTCAGTTAGAGATAAATGACACTTTGAAGACACGTTTTTCCACTCAGCTTTGAAACATCTGCTTCAATTTTATAATAATCCCTGTTTTTCACCTTGTGGATGCAAAACATTTAAATTCTTGATGCTTGAAATATTTATTTCTAACGAATCTTGTGAGTTTAATGATTTAGTCAGTCAACAAGTCAGTGGCTGCAGCTGACTTTTTTTTTTTTTTTTTTTTGTCATCGCGACGAGCAAGCCGGCCGGCCAAAGCAAACAACTTTCAGCCAGGACGAGCTATACTTTTTGGCTCAGCAACACAAGAGCGTTTTTGGATGAATGTCCAGCATAAAGAATGTGCCAAGGATTAACTGAAATTGCTGCGTGAGTGTGATTTAAAAGCCATTTTGCGTCATTTGACTGTGACAGGTTTTGACAAATGAGCCCTCCTTCAGTCGCTCTCCTCTCAAAGGCAACCGGTTTCCTAGCAGATGTTTCTCCACATCTGCATGTTGGGTGTGAGAAAACCTTTGTTCGTGCTCATCACGCTAATGCTTGTTGCAATCTAATGTGTGGTTTTATAACAGGCATGTAGTTTATGGTAAAAAAAAGAGATTAAATCTGAAAGCTAGCGTAATTGTGAATGAAATGGGAATTATCTGAATGTACGGGAATGTATAGGAAAAAGCACAACTCAGAAACAGTGACAACATCGCTCAGGCCCTAAACTTCGTTTGACTTTCTGAATGTGCACTGAACCTGTAATGAAATCCCGATGCAGCCAGTGCTTGTTTCATCTGGGACTCAGCAGAACTGATCATCAGACGAAGTGACTGCGGGCCCCACGAACACATCCGACAGTCGGTGGAACACTGGGAGGTTTTCCGGAGACACCTGCTTGGCAGCTCTCCGGGGCCCATGCATGAGGTCTGAACCAAGTGCCAAAGAGTAAAAGACTCAGTGAAGGTATTTGATGTAATGCCATTACCAAGGTGAGTAAAAAAGAAAATCCTGCATGATTGTGCAATTACATGACCTCTTCTTCAACTTTCCTCCTGCTTCATGTGACAGATGTCAGATCTGGGATTTAGATGCTTAGGGAATGAGAAAAGAATTCAAACTGCGGTCACAGGCAGAACTCTAAATGTTGATCATAAAGCCTTTAGAAATGCAGCTGCGATTTACTCAAATCACCCAGTCCTCATGTAAACCCCTCTGATCTCTATTAAGGTAGCGCGGCTCGGGTTGCGAATGACCACAGTCACCAATTCTTGTTGTGTCTTTGCCCATTTATATCAATCTCAAATTGTGTGTACTGAAACTCTAATTTCCCTCTGGGATTAATAAAGTATCTTTGAATTTGATTTGAAATATAAGATTCTTAAAGATCAACTTTACTAAAATTTTTAATGCATTTGTGGTCTCGTAGAAATGATTACCTTTCAAGTTGTACTCAGGGGATTAGAAGCAGATGCTCCTGTTTGAGGACGGAGAAGACTGTTGGAGAAGAAAGCAGCTTCAGACGACAGGATTTGGAGTCTTATTTCCTGATAATTGGACATCTTGCTTCTGATTGGCTAACAGCAACGTAACTCTACCACTGACTCTGTTTGCTCTGCAACGTTGATGCTTTATCTTTGCAAAAAACACAAGCCTGAAGGAGTTCTGCCGTGTGGTGGAGTT